TCTCCGCTGGGAAAGCTTGTGGTTTCAGCCGTTTATGAAGGAGGCTCAGCTGACAAGCATGGTGAGCTGACTGAAATATCATTTTCATTACTACAGTAATCTAATCTGCTTCAGGTCTTATAAGAGAACCTCACATTTAGAACATTTATTACAAGTATGGCCTTCTTTAACTGCCCAGATTTGTCTTTGTTTTTGTCTCTCTCTTAGGTGGGGTGGTGGCAGGTGATGAGATAATGGCAGTTAATGGAAAGATTCTGACCGATGTGACCCTGACCGAAGGGCAGAACGCTTTAGCTCGAGCCTGGAACAGTGGAGGGGTGAGAGCTCACACATATACACTGCTGCAGATATTAACCACAAGAGCCTGTGCTTACCCGTCCTGACTCAAGACTTTTGGAGCCATCATTGTCTTTGAGGAAGTCTGTACCAAACTGGTTGCAGTAATCTGCCCTGGCCTAATTACATTTGAATAGTACAACAAAACAAAAGCAGCAGCTCTAAGCTTCTAAATATCGCAAAGTCAACAGTTCTTTCTTTTGATTTGCTATTCTATTGAACCGTGATAATGTAATTGCATATAGTCACTGACGGCGCAAAACCTTGTATCTCTAAAAACATCCTTAACTTTATTTGAAGTCAATGGAACAAGATCTTATTCTCAGTCATTTTGGCCAATTTTCTATATGTCCATTCATCATGAAAGTTTGACACAATGTAATCGCCGACTGGATTTTCAAATTGTGAAAAAATGAAAAAAGCACAAAAATGGAGATACAGGTTTTGTTCCGACAGCGACGATGTGTAATCACATAATTAGTTCCATAAAGAACTGTGTTTCATCCCTCCCTTCCAGGCTGTTCATAGTGTATTAACAGGTTTGAGGCTGCAATTCTGACCTTTTGCCCTATGTTTCAATATCATGAAATGACAAAAAGGTGGGAAAGATGTGGAAAGGATGTTTTTACATCCTTAAAAACAATACTAATCTCACAACAATAACCATTCATCAACTTTAAGTGAAAAATATTAAAAGATGTCCTTGTTTACTCACAAATATGGTATTGATTAAAAGGTTAGCATCCATGCTTCTGACAGAATGTTTCCACTTATTTCAGTGAGAATTAGTATTGAATTACATCATGCTTTTGTTGTTTTGTCAGCAATAACTGTGAGTTAAAGGTTTAGAGCTTTTCTAATTCCAGACTAAAAGATATCTACATACACTAAGGTTGCCCAGGTGATTATTATGTTGGTGCCAAATTTTAGTGGATCAAGTGTTGTCTCACTTGGGATTTGATTGTTTCTGGTCTCTGTGTGCCACAATTGGGATTGATCTGACCAGACTGAGGGAAGAGGAAATCAATAAGCCTGATAGACTGCCTTTCATTTTTTTCATAAGGCAAGGAGAGATTTTTTTTCTGTGAACAGTTATTGATTTTTTTTATTAAATAAGATCACACCACAAGATAGCACATACACTTCTGTTTAAATAGAAATTGTTTGTCATTGTTTTATTGCTTTTCATTACTTGCACCCTGAGAGCTTTTGGCACTACCGGTAATGAATAGTGTTAGTGGTTTTTAACCAAAGATTAGGGTACAGCAGATGATAAATGAGATGTGGTGAGTGGGATAATTGTATTTATCTGCCTACCAACTGGTATTAAATGTGTTTGTTTGTGTGTGTTTGTGTGTATGTTTTCAGGATTGGATTGACCTGGTGATAGCAGTATCTCCGCCAAAGGAATATGAAGATGAAGTGTACGTACACTGTCAATGTTATTTATGCTTCCTCTCAGCCCTCTACATTAATAACTTAATCACATCAAAAACCTTTACATTTGCTCAATGAGGGTTAACCAAAACGTTCAAAAATGATGCAGTCAGTCTTCATCGAGCTAAATTAAGTTCATCCATGTCCATGCAACACACACTTCTTTTGCATACCCTCATGGTTTATATATTTAATTCCAGAACATAGTGTGTATGTGTCTTTGCTGAATGTATGCCTGTCCTCTGCGCTACCTGTCCAGCCCTAAAGCAGCATCAGTCAGTTCCACTGCAAACAGAAAGGTTTTCCAGGGCAGTGCCTCAGTGTACAGGCAGGGCTATGTGCTACAGATGAAAGCCCCTGGCCCTCCGCCCTGATCAACTACCTCTCCTGGGTAACCCCTGTGAACTTCTGACCCCCCCCATGCAAACTAGACTAATTGTATGTATCATGTACATGTGACGGTCTCCTCTCCATTCAGAAGCCTACCTGTGCCGTCCAAGATATTTTCAACCAGAGAGTCGAGGTCCATTTAAATGCTTCGCAATTCTATTTATACGTATTGTTTTTCATTTTTCCACTGAACATTCAAAAATCAGAACTGATCCAAATGGAAACCAACAGAACATACTGTTCTAGTTCTGGTTGAGTTTTTACCTATTGAGAGAGAGCTGGAAGAATAAAATAAAAAACACCATTAACAATTTTTGGTCATTTAATATCAGTAATTAGCTTATTAGCTACCTTGCTTATTGATACATTGCACTGTTTTGTGCTCACACCCTCACAAAAAGGTCTACATTTACACAGAATCAGGTGTAGAATCAAACAAATTCTGTTTTTAAGTATGAACGTGTGAGCAAAACACTTTCTGTGGAGGCTAGTATAAATGCTAATAGCAGCACCTTAGCAAACTCTTTACAAAGTAATAATTATAAAAATAGCCATCGGACATCAGACAACATATAATTTACATTTTTGGTACCATCTTCACCTCAAAGAGTAAAGAATTTGCTAAACTGTTGTTGGCTTCAACTGTAAGTGTTACAGATTCCGAGAAGAACATCCTTGAGTGCCATTAGGTCCTGTTGGTACTAATCTTAAGCAGGTACCAAAACCATAAAACTACAACCTTCCGTGCTGGATTGATGGCCAGTGAAAAAAAAGCACAGTTCCACTTTTCTGGTGCCAAAAGTTCTGGTATGATGTGCAGTGGAAAAATACTTACTGTGACACCCATTGCTATACATTAAAATATATAGTGAATTTGATGTGGTTAAAGATTGGACTGCTTTGTTTTGACCAAAATTTGGTTGGATGACATGAATTGGAACATTGATTGGTTAAGATGCTCAGAACACAGTAGAAAGCATTCTGATTGGTTAGAGGCTCGTTTGCATATTGCAGCCCTAATATCAGTATTGCAAAGGTCAATATCATGATGGTGATTAATAATGATATATTGCACAGCCCTAGTCCATTTATAACTTCTCTGTAACTTGTACATGAGAGACGCTGTGAAGCATGAAGCTCTCATCTAAAATGTGTCCAAAAGATTTCCTCAAGTAGTATTCAAATCCTTTTGATTTAATCCGCAGACGATTTACTGGAACTGAATGCGTAGGCATCCCAGCCAGAACCTTTGGCAGTCACTCTGATTGATGTTGTTCAAAGGGACTGTTACATGTCATGACTCATACAGATAGATATTGATTTTGGTGGTTTGATCTCAAGCCGTGCTGCAGCATGTTGCTATTACCTCTCTTCAGCACAACAGGTCCAGGCATGTTGTGGCAAGCATGGATGTTAAAATCACATTTATTTGGGTCTTTCAACTTCACACGAACAAATAGGCAAGATAAGTCAACTGTAATATGATGTTAAATGAAGAACTGGCTTAATTTAGCAACATGCTGTGCGGCGGATGTGTTTCTATCAGCGTATCTACTTTAGTCCCTCTGTGACTCTTGTGTGAAGGTGTGAGACAGAGTGAACATCTGGTCAGTCAATGTGAGTCTTAACTGTTCCTTATATCTCTTTTCTTGCAGAACATTCTTCTAAGACCCGTTTTCCCAGCCCGTGCGCATATGAGGAATGCAGAGTGGCGGCGAACACCATTCCTTTGTCTTTATTTCTTAAGCTGTTTTGCAGAATAAAGTCAGATTAAATGTTTACACAGAATATATTTGTTAAATGTATTTAAATGGACTGTAGTTCATATATTATACACTCACATCCATCTGCAACTGTTTTTCCATAACACACTCCAAACAGACGCATGTGCTTTGCAGGGCCAATAAAAGATGAGTTCCCTGTGGAGAGAATCTGTGGTTGGTCTTCCAGTTATTTATGTACTTCTTGTGATTTGTGGTTGATTTATTGTATATTGATGGCCAAAGAGACTCTCGCAGATCGATTCAGTTATTTATTAACTGTGACCTGTGAGCTTCATCTGGGCTAGGTTGCTGTTAAGTTCATCGACTGTAGGGGGCAGTGGTGCGCTTCATGACATTGAGCTGAGCTGCTGACATTCAAAGGCCAGTTTTTCAATCTGGAGCCTTTGTCTGACCTTTCGGAACTACTGCTCACTTTGTTTTAACATGTTAAAATATATTGTCGACCAAGATTGCCTGGCGTAAGTACAGCTCCACAGTACTCAGCCTGTGATATCCGATAATCGTAGCTTTGGAGAACATGTACACACCACCTATGATGTTTTGAATATATATGCAATCAAATGTCAGATACTTTGCAGTGCAATAGTTCAATAAAATGGTCCAGCAGAGCAATTACTCCCTCGCTAACTGAGTCACCCCGTGTAGGTGTTGTGTAACTGAAGGGCTATGACCAGCAATTGACGTGTGGTTCACTTTCATATGTGGTTGGCTCCACACAGCAGGCTGACACTGTAGCCTACATGTGTACGTGACAGCCTAATGGCTGTTGGGTTGCTGGGCGCTCGAACCTCATCCTGGCTGATCTCAAGGAGGAATTTCTATTTTTTTACACGTCGTTTTTCAGCACCATGGCTAGTTCCACCGAGAGCAAACCGTGACCATCTGCTGCAGTGACTCTGCCTCAGCCGCTCCATCGTCTTTGCTCGATAGCTCCGTTTTCCTGGAATTGGGTTCAGCAGCGCTTCAGTGGCATCGGGCAGAGAGCATGTAGCTCAGCGAGGCGCTTTCAGGCGCTGCTTGGCGCTGGAGGTGCTGCGCGTCATCGCACCGCTGGGTCCTCCACCTGAGATCCGTTTTGGGTAGAACGTGGATGTTTTTTGGCGTTAAGATGATTCCCCGCTACAGACCGGTATGTACGCTGTTCTTTTGTTCTTATTACAGTAGACAGTGGTGGCGCCATTTATGATGTTCATTTTGAGCCATGTAGCCTGATAGTGATAAAAACCAATGGAGAATTTTGATGTTTTTAAAGCAGGATCGTTTTGGGACACATGATCGTAGCATCATTGTTATTATTTTTGCAAATTTGTTTTCATTAGAGTCTAAAAGTTTGACTTAACAGATCACATCGTGACCCTCCAGGACCCTCTCACACACTTTGTGTGATGCAAAATGAAAACATAACGAATTCTGTTATATATAAACTTCGATCTTCGTGCTGGAGTTGGTCATCTGAGTTGTAGATCTTTACTGCTGTGGATGTGCAGCCATGCGAGGTATCTGAGAGACAGTGAGGGGCTGCCTTGGGGGGCAGCTAGATAATCAATCTGCTTCTGAACACTACACTAGCCCTGGCCTGCTGACCATGCTTTCATTGCCGTTTTTTTTGTGCGGGTGTGTAAAGTAATAAGATAAAGTAGAGAGCAGAGGCTGTCACAGCTCAAGGATGCTCCAGCTGCCCGCTATGTTTATTAGTGATGCATGGTCAGCCTTCACCCCTGACCTCTGATTTCCTCAGTAGTCCAGTAGCGGTTCAGCTGGGACCCCATAGAGCGCTCCATTCACCTCACGCAGACACACAGGGACGTCACTGTCTGTCAGAGCTGTTATTGTGTCTGATTTAGAGTCGTGACACAATGAGAAGTGACATGATTTTTGTTGTTTTGGTCCTGCGCTCCAACACGTGGTCTTGAAATGAAACAATGACTATGAAGTCTATTCTCTTCAACTTTAGGGGACCAAATATATATAAACACATAATTCACCTCCTTGTATCATTGTCCATTTATCAGCTCCACTTACCATAGGGGTGCACTTTGTAGTTCTACAATTACAGACTGTAGTCCACCTGTTTCTCTGCAGACTTTGTTCCCAACTTTCACTCTGTTCTTCAATAGTCAGGAACCCCCACAGGACCGTCACAGAGCAGATATTATTTGGGTGGTGAAACTGATGTGTTGATGGTGTGTTTCGCTGGTACGAGTGGATCAGACACAGCAGTGCTGCTGAAGTTTTTAAAGTCACTGTCCACTCTATTAGACCTTGTTGGTCCACCTTGTAGATGTAAAATCAGAGTCATCCTCTAGTCCTTCATCAGTGGTCACAGGACGCTGCTGGCTGGATATTTCTGGTTGGTGGACTTTTCAGTCCAACAGTGATACTGAGGTGCTTATAAACTCCAGCAGCACTGCTGTGTCTGATTCACTCGTACCAGCACAACACACACTAACACACCACCACGATGTCAGTGTCACTGCAGTGCTGAGAATGATCCACCACCCAAATAGTACCTGCTCTGTGGTGGTCCTGTGGTGGTCCTGACCAGTGAAGAACAAGGAGAAAGGGGTCTAACAAAATTCACAGAGAAACAGATGGACTACAGTCTGTAATTGTAGAACTACAGAGTGCACCTATATGGTAAGTGGAGCTAATAAAATGGACAATGAGTGTAGAAACAAGGAGATTTAATGCTATGGCTGTTATTCCGTTCAGCCTCATGAGAAATTGTAACTCAGTTTTTGTTTAAATGCATTTGGAGTGTGATTTTATTTCAAGTGATGTTTATTTTGTATGTGTAAAAGGTCACATTGATAGATTATTTATTTATTGACTTATTATATTTATCATGTAATTGAGCTAATGTTTGCATATTTTTTGTCATGTAGCAGCTCTAAACAGTGCACTACAGTTTCTCATTATATTGAATAGGACTTTGACCTACGTTCTGTAAAGCTTATCCAGCCTTGCAAGAGCATCTATGTAAGAACCCATTTTGTGGGCGAAGGTGGATAGGTCAATTGGACATTTGACTGTTCAGTTTGCTTGCCCAGTTGTTTGTCATTGCATTATTAGTGCATGCTCAAGAGAGCTAGCAAAAGGTCAAGCGCTGGCTGGATGTGGCATTTGCATTCGGAGTCTGTTGTTTTCTCAACATGAGGACCAAACAAGTGGCAAAACCGGGCCATTGAGAGGAAGAGAATAAATCAATCAGAGAATTAGCCAAAGCAATTAGACTGTTAAGAAGCAAGAACAATCTGGTGAGCTCAACATAAACAAACAACCTGACAGAGCACAGAAGACCACAACAGTGGGTGAATGAAGAATATGGTCAGTCATGGGAAAAACAGACAAATGAAATAAAAAATAAATAAACTGTTTAACAGATCAAGAATTCAGTCTAAGATGTAGACTTTGTATAACGAGAAGAATCCACCAGCGTGACCTCACAGGGTTTATCAAAAGATATAAACAGCATTCAGCAGCACAGTAAGTACAGGTTTGCTAAATATTACATTTAAAAAACCGTGCAGCTCTGAGACAAATTCTTATGGACAGACAAGATCAAATGGACCTGTACAAGAGTAATAGAAAGAGGATAATGTGGAGAAAAATAAAAACAAACTGCTCACAATCCAAAGCAAACCACCTAATCCTAGAAACCTGATAGGCGCCTGGTTCCCTTGTTTTTATTGACAATATGACTACATATGTCACAAGTAAGATGAACTCTGGAGTATCCAGAAGCCTCTTAACTGCTCAAATCCAACAAAATGACTCACATTTCAGTGAATGGTGCTTCACCTTGTAGCAGCAGTGTGACCTTAAAAGTACATCTAAAGCAATTAAGCAATTGGTCAAAGGGTGAAATGACCCAAACCCCACTGAACATGTGGTATACTGAGACATAATTAAGGGATAAATCTCATCTAAGCAAGCAGAAACTGAAGATGCTTGCATAGCATCACCAAGGAAAATTATATCAGTGGGTCACAACTGTAGGCAGTCATTAATTTCTCAAGAGTTTGCTAAACATGATCATTTAATTTATTTATTATTCATTTATTACTCTGACGTGAGTGGACCTTGTTTAAAAATGGTTTTTATGTATACAGGGTTTCCTGAAACAAGTTATCTTTATGTTGTAGAACTAAATAACGGTAGTCTGGACCTGCTGACAGGTTTCAATGTGCTGAGTACACAGCCAAAACAAATGCTGTGTCACTATTAAATTACTGCACTGTATGTTCTATGGATTAAAGTGCACCTGTCACACCTGACATTAAATTAATCAAGTAGGTCACTTCATAAAGGTTGCAGTAAGCTTCAGATTACTGAGTCATTTCATTCAAAACCACTGGAGAAAACATTATGTTTGAAGATTAGAGGTGTGTTGCAGTTTATGTCCTATTTATAACATGCTCTCCTCCATTAATATTCAAAGTTAGGCTTTAAACTAAGGTACTTTCACGTTGTGCCTAACAAAACCCCTTACATGTCACTGTAACACACAGCCCCTTGAGGCTTATTGCTAACATATAGAGATTATATTATGTATAGAGACTTTTGATCCAGATGTCATTCATACATTATCAGAGTGTGTGTGTGTGTGTGTGTGTTTGTATATTTTCAGGACAAAGTAATGACTTTGTAGGAAAATCAGAGAATAGCAAGCAGATTCTGGTTTTCATTGTTTAAAACTAAAGGGCAAAACTCTTTTGATTACTGAAAAGTTAGTGTTAAGGCTCAGAAAATTCTTCTCACATATATTCAGAGTTGGGATGTAATGGAATACAAGTGAAAATGAGTATCACATTCTCTACAGAGAACAAACTTTAATGGCATTTTTATGCCATTTTACCATTATAATTGATTTATTGTACATAACAGTGGGTCAAATAATTGTATTCCAATTTTCAAAGATGTTTACTGTTACCATTGTTTGTGAAAAAAAGGATGTCTGATGCAGAAACGGTGAAGAAAGAAACTAGTTTTATAGCAAAATCCATAACTCTAAAAGATTTTGAGGGGTCATAAGAAGTACTGTTGATAAGGGCACAAAATATCTCTAATATTACATTGAAGCCTCTAGCTCTCTAATTTCTACAACACTTTAGAAGCATAATTAATATATGTTGTGTTTGTCCATGACAGGGTGGACACAACTTGTGGTTGCATCATAAGATGTTGCCTTGCCATTGCAAAGTAAAAAGGGTTTAAGCTGAACACAGATGTTTTCTGGGTAGTCTATAGTCTTATAACTATTAAAAGGAATTAAAAATCGTTTTATTGAAAGTTATGAGTTCCCAAAGGCACAGTACACTGATAATGACTCAGCTTTTTATTATTGGGGTATATTGTTATTGGCATATGGTGAACTGTTTGCTTAGACACACGGTCCTGCTCAGGGGATTGTGGGAACAGCTGAATATGTTACTGAATGAATATGCGCAATCGCTATTCAACCATCACTGCTTTGTTAAAGTATTCTGCCTAAAAGCATATAGTCTTTATTTGTATTGTTTTTCATTTTTTTGACACAATTAGATGTACCGGCTGCTCTTCATTCTCAACAAAAAAATTATAATTAAAGGAATGTAAAATATATTTACACTAGCTTTCATTAAGATTTCCTTTTTCCTGCAAAGTCACTACTTTTTTAGTTTTTGTCTAACAGTGACAATATGCATATAAACATGATATATGGGGCATATGTACAACACCACATTGTGAAATTGTAGATGTCAGAGTGTGTTCATCTGTATGTGCACTCCCAGACACCCCTCATTCCACCCCTTTCTGAGTGCCTGTGAATCAATGTCCTGCCTTATGCTGCTTCTCATAAGTTGAGTGTATGGATGAAGGTTCCCATGTCGACTGTGGGGTGGTATTTGAGTGCAGGACAGGAAGTGAGAGAGAGGACGAGAGGGGGGCTGTAAATGCCTGGTTTCTGATTTCTGCATGGATCAGGTAACCAGCTTAGACATAGATCATAGAATTGAACATAGAATGAAATATTGGGGTTAGACAAGTATCAGTTATTTTTATTTACAGATTTGACTGGGAGTTGTCAGAGATAATGAATGACAGTTGCTTTATGTCAATACCTTCAAAAAAATAGTATTATAAGCAATAGACAATGGACAAGTTTCACATTAAGCTGCATACTAAAATGCATTTGTTGAAGAAGCTATTCAAAACGCGAATCTCTTTATGTTGGATTATGTTGGAGCTCTTCGGGTTGGTGGTTTTGATCTTCTCTGCTGCCTTCTGTGTGTCCTAGTTACACATGCTATTTTGTGCTTCTGCCATCCTGGAGGATTTATGTACAGCTTGCTTTAATTTGCAGAAAAGCCCGGCAGGGCAGTTTTTCTGAAGGTTTTCCATTCAAATCGACAGTCGTGTGTGATTTATCATGCCAAACACGTTCCTCAGCATGACGTGTGAAAAGCGTCCTGAAGCTGCTGCATGTCTCCTCTCCCTCCCCCACTCTCCTTCACTCTATCTCTCTCTCTCTCTGTCTCTGTCTCCTTCCTTCTCTCCCACACCATCCCTGCCTGTCATGCGAACACACACAGATGCAAACACTCTGAGGCACAGACATGCACCGACATACTCTCACAAGGTCAGCTTTGAGTGCTTATGCACAGGAGAAGAGACTGCAGTGTCTTTCTAGCCGCTGTCCTCCTCTGCATGTGTGTTCGTCCGTATGTGAGTGTGTGTGGGTTTTTTTTCCCGGAGCGGAGATGCTTCCATTTTTTTTGGCACTGAGCTGAAGAGGTTATTAAAAGGATGTCTTTGAGCTGCTGCGCTGGTGCCGGTGGAACCCGATGCAGGCATTCCTCAGTTTCTCCAGTTAGCAAACAGCAGCTGCTTAGCCAGGGGGATCTGGAGTGGGACTTCAGCAGCCGCAGACTCTTGCCTGTCTCCTGCAGTCCACCTGCAGCAAGGATGTAACTCTGCTATGCCCTGACAGCCTCTCTTTCAGCCTTTCTCCTTTACCCTTTCCCCCATCTCCCCCATCTGTTTAACCTCTGCTGCTCCTGCAGAGCCCGGGCTCAACAATGTCCTTGTCCTTCTGCGGCAACGAGAACAACTCAGCCGCCTACAACGTGGACCAAGGCGTGCTCAACAACGGATGTTTCCTAGACGCGCTCACTGTGGTGCCCCACGTCTTCCTGCTGTTCATCACCTTCCCCATCCTCTTCATCGGTGAGTGTCTGGGACAGGCTGAGTGCCGGGGCACACGTGGCAACGTGCCGTGTTGTGTCATCACACGAAAAGCTTGAATGATGCTGCCATGAATCAGAAGGCACCTGTCTGTATTTGTTGCATGTGACCTACTGCTCTCCCATTTACCTGATCAAGGTAATCTTGCTTGAGTAATGTGATTTGCAGTTTAGTTAGTCAGCTAATTTAGAGCTTAACTGGCCATAAATGCCTAAAAACCTGGGCTGGGTGACACTGTTTCAAATAAAGATTCCTAAAATGGTTATTTGGAGCAGTGCTGTGAAAGATCCACTCTTGATTCTCCAAGGAACCTTTCAGAGGATGAACTGCTTTAGTAAATGAGTGGCATGAGTGTAATGACAAACCTTTTTGAAGTTTAAAGAACCTCCACATAGGTATGAATGATGAATCATTTTTATATTGAATTGCAATTTGAAAGAGAGCACTTTTTAAATCGCAACAGCTGCAACTTTAATTGTATCTCACATTATTCAATGTAGTCTTAACAAGTTTTACATGGGGAAATTTAACCTATTAGAGCTGTTAAACTGTCGGTCTGGTACCTTCTCTTCAGCATTCAGTCCTCAAGTCTGAAAATCTGATGTTATTCTTGTCAAAAAAAAAGAAGAAATAAACAGGCCTGGAGCTCATTTTATAGAACATAATCGCATTTTAATCACAGTCGCAATGTTTGTCAGAAATCATTCAGCCCTACCTCCACAAGTAAAGCTTCTATATTAATGAAAGGATTTTTCCTAGAACCATATGTCAAAGTCAAGAGCCATTCAGGACACTTTACTTTTACGAGTGTAAGTGATGGTACAGTAGCATGGGACATGCTACAGTAATGGTTTATCTGACATAAGACCAGCTTAAATAGGCCCTGCAGGGCCAAAGATAGACTGCATGTGTGAGAGTGGTTTTTTAGAAATGTGACCTAGCAGAGGCACCCAGGGGGTTGATGATGTATTCTGAGAACGCAGCAAACAAATATGACCTTAGCTGTGAAATTTACAAAACAGGAGCTGAAGCCATCACTGAGTGGTGGTGTTGGTTGGGAGTGAACTTTATGCCTGTGGCCGCTTGCATAAAACATAAGTATTTGTCTTAGGTTAAATGCTTAAGGAATGCATTTGAAGCAGTACATTTAAATTTACATCTTGCATTTGTCAATAACTAATATGGTGAAAGTTAGACTTAGAGTCTAGAAGTCAATTTACAATTTACAGTTTATGCTTAAAGGGGAAGTCCACAATTTTTTTTCAAAATTGCTGCATAATTTAATTGTTAAGATGTAAACAAAGTCATTTAGGGTCGTTTGATGTGAAATACTTTATTCTAGAAAAAATTACAGGGTCAGAACTGTTCACAGTGGTGGTGAGAAGAACCAGACGTTTAAACCATTTAATGTCACTAAAAGCTCCCTCAGAAAACTGTTACATGAAATGGTCATGAAACCACTGCCTGAATGATTGTTTGCGGTAGTTTTGACAGAAGATTTTGGTCTAAAACGTATTTTTAAAATCTATTTATGGTAATAAAGTGTGTTGTGAGACTTTTTTTTTAAGTTTTCCACTATTTTACCATTATAAACATTACATTTAACATTCAAAAGACTCTTGTAGGTTCACAGATCATTTTGGATAGTACATAAAATGGCTGTATTTGTGTTTCGACCCCTTGTTTCTTATTACCACCACTGTAAAGAAATCTCTGTAATGAACCATTTCACGTCAAACCACTCTGAATGACTTTGATTACATTTAAAATAACCTTTCAAACCGTTTTAAAGCTCACTTAAGGTACAGTGAAAACTTAAGGCCAAAAGTCACTTGATTTTTTATTTTAAATTAACATACAAGTGGCCAGTTGTCTCTTAAACACAGCTGTATGCACCAATGTTGATGTCATGTCTTGATCAGAAATGCAAAGAAATCTTCACCCTCTCCTTAGGCATTAAAGGCAAAGATACCCAGACTTGCTTTTCTGCATTATGAGCAGTCTATTTACAAGTAATTCATCTCACTGAATGTTCTTGAGATGAGAGAGGAGGCTCTTGGAGGCTGTAAGGCGTTAGTTAGCCCACATAAAGAAGAGAGGCGTTAAAGCTACACAGATGGATCAGGAGTGTGGAGCTGGAGGCTGTGAATCATTCTCTCCAGGATTAAACTCATCCCTTCACCTGGGAATGCTCCATTAGCATAATGTAATCGGCAGGCAAGTGGCTTTGGCTCCAGAATAACACATTACCAAGCTGGACAGAAGCCAAAATACAATGAGCGGCAGACCTTTGTTCTTTAGGGGTGTCTCGGGATGTGATGCAGCAAAGGGACAGATGTTGTGCTGCTAGCTCTGCAGAACTTTGGCACTTAAAAGCCCAAAATTAGCAACTCCACTATACAAGTTACAATTTAGGTGTCAAGGTTCCCAACCATTTGCAGTGGTTAAAAATGACAGCCACATTTCAAAGTTGTTTTATAGATGTGTATAAAAGCAAAATAGCATTAGTCATCATTGGCTATTGATTGCATGAATTTGTCCTGTATGTCCATTTGCAGGTTGGGGCAGCCAGAGCTCCAAAGTTCACATCCATCACAGCACCTGGCTGCACTTCCCTGGGCACAACCTGCGCTGGATCCTCACCTTCATCCTCCTCTTTGTGCTGGTGTGTGAGATCGCAGAGGGCATTGTGTCCGATGGGTAGGTTTTGCTCAGAGCTCTTGCTTACAGTTAACGCTTGCAGGACTCCTGCTTACCCTGGCTTTACAAGATGAAACTTTCAAGTTACGAGTTGCAGAAAGAAAAATTTTCTAGAATAACTTGGCAGAAGCATTTCAAAAATAATTAAAGCCTCTTGGCAACACATTTGATTATCCCACTAGCTTGTAAGATTAGCGGCTATAGTATGTTTTACATATCATAAAAAAACCTGAAAATGAAAATTATATTAAGCACAATACATTCTTAAAACTGATGTTATATTGTGTGATATGTTATTGTATGATATGTTATTGTATGTTATTATTGTATGTGATATGTTATAAAATTAACATTTTAACACTTAATGAAAACAGAACTTAAAGGGGAATTCCACTGATTTTTGAAAATGTCTACATAATTAGGTGGTCGAGATATAAACAGATTCATTCAAATTGGTCTGTTGTGAAATGTTTCATTTGTATAGAAACTTGCAGACTCAGATTTCTTTAGAGTGGCGGTGATGGGAACCAGGGATGGCCATGTCTACAAAACAAATGCAGGCAGTTTATTTACTATTACTATTGAAAACCACCAGTGAACCTACACGTCTTCTGAATTTTTTATATGTAATGTTGATGATGGTAAAATAGTGGTCAACCTCAAAAAATAAGATCTTTTTGGAGGCTATTTAGCTGTAGAAAGCCCTTCATGTGTCCCTTCACCATGAATTGATTAAAATAAATTGATTAAAATTTGTTTTAGGCCAAAACTTTATCACAGAACTATCGTAGAATTATGTCTCAGACATCAGGCTGTGTATTCATAACTATTTAATGTAATAACTTTTTGTGAAGGAGGTTTTAGAGGCATTAAACAGATGTCTGGTTCCTATCACCACCACTCTGAACAATTCTGAGTCAGTATGTTTTTATGAAATGAAGCCTTTCACAGCAAACCACTCTGAATGGCTTTGTTTATATCTGAACCATTAAATTATAGAGAAATTTTGAAAAATCGGTTCCCTGATTTGCGTAGTATGTTTTATAGCATACAAATGTCACTACCATTATCATATTGAAAGCTGTTTTTTTCTTAGATATAAAATGTTTTTGATGGAAATTTTTCACATGAATACACTGAATGGAAATGTAAAGCGACTGTTAAGAAAAACTTAAAACTGAGCTAAGATGTATATTAACTGAACATCAAATAATAAGTTCACAACAATATTATATATATGAGTAACTTCAGGGGTTCCTGAAAGGTGAATCTATCTAAGCTAGGTGTGTCTGGTCTTATCAGCCAGTGGGGCTACAGGTTTAATTCAGCAGGGGCTCATCAGATTCCACTTGTTTAATCATTTAATATCAGTCTTCAACAATTGATCACATGAGCTATTGCTTTATTGGAATGAAAACCTGCAGCAACACTGTCCCTTTGCAGATAAGACCATAAGACTAGACACCTCTGGCTTAGATGGTTACCACGCATATTTCTGTGTCCATAAATGTTTAATGGGGGGAAGTTTAGTAAAAGTCAGGAAATTATAAGGAAAGAGAGCAAGAAAGCTAATCGTTACTGAGATGCTGAACTAAAAAGATGTGAGTTAGGAGAACTAAGACGTTTGAGTTGGGGGAACTTTAGTGTCCTCAAGTTGAGTTAACTCAAGAAAAATAATAATGTAATAAGTTACTTTAGAATCTTAAGGTTTTTTTTTTTATAACAAAAATATTTTGTGTTTATGAAAACTGATAATGTGTTTCATTCATTAAAAATTGTTCGTGAAAGAGCCTATTTTGCATTCTCAGACTAGATATAAAATCACACAAATATTTGAGAAGAAAATAATATGGGTAATACATTTATGTCTTACTAAACATTCTATGAGCAAAGACAAAAAAGGAAGGCATGAAGGCCTTTTTGGTTTTTAAAACATGTTTGGATCCTCAGCAACACTTTTTACCTGGGGCACAGAATGACTCAGGTGCCATTTCAAGCTGGAAATGACACGGACATGACTACAACACTTTCTTAAATGCCCCATTTCATCAACTGTAGCTCAGAGCGCGCTGTATCGGAAAAGAGTCTGTACTTGCTTTGTGTTCTTCGTAGTCGAAGTTAAATGGATTTATTCAGCAGTCTGTAAGACTTTATCCTTAGATTGTATAATCCACGTCCTGATTTGATATTTTAAATTTCCTTTCTTTTAAATTTCCACATTCTCTAATCATACCGTCTGAAGAAATGTTATAAATCAATTGAACCACAGGTCTAAGAAATGTAGTCTTTCAGTCACACAACTAGGACTACTGAATTTTACCAATACAACGGAAAATCCGAATTGATTTTGAGTAAAAGTACTAAAATTACATTTAATTAAAACATTGAGGCGTTTTCCTGTTAGATGGCCACCGAAGATAAATCTTAACTATTTTAAATTCAAATTCAACGGAAAACTGGATCAGTACGAGGCAACTGCCAGCATTATTTACTTGAACCACTAGCTAACCTAGCTAAGTTAGCTAGCTACGTTACAGTTGAGTAAAACCAACCGTTCAACTGTTAAGTAAGGTTAACTTCTCTGCTAGTTGTTCTCACAGTTATGGTATTGTGCTGTGTTTACTGAATTATAATTACGTGTCTTTGTAAGTCTGATAAGTCAACATAAACTGATAATCAACTTTAATTTATCGTGGCCTAGCAATACGAATAATCAGGTAGGTCCTTGTGAAATTAACCGACTAAGCTAACGTAGGTTAGCTACTTAACTAAAGTTATCCTAGCAGAGTTCCTGAGGTAACTTGAGCTAACTTAACGTTAACGTTAGGTTAAAACCGACGATGAGAGGTGATTTTTCTTTTGGGTGTTTGAAGCAGTGTAGTGACAGTAGGAGAATTTCAGATAAGTCGAGTAGTTAGTAAGTTAGCTAGCTAGCTATCTGTTATCTATCATTACTCGGTATCAGCTGTTGGCTACGTTACATTACCTAACATAGCGTTAGCCTCTGTCGGTGTCTGTCTGTTATAAGAGCAAGTAAATCAGCTGCTGGACCGCCTCTGAAGTACATGAAACGGTCACTGCCTGCGGTTCATGTTCCTAACATGGTAGGTTAATGATGTTGAATTTCTAACATGAGGCAACGTCTCTTTTATCAACAATACATCAATCCGTTATTTCACCAACATCTACAAGCATAATCAGTAATGAAAGTCGGACTTTGCATCTTCGTTCGTAAAACAGAAGCACTGTGAAGTTGCGTGAACGTTGCACATGTAAAGTCAGCCTATGGATACGTGGAGTCCACCAGTATTGACAGTTTTATTGTTTCAGACAGATAAAATAGGTAAGCACCCGCGCTAAAGTAATCAAGTAAAAGCCCTCCAGCATTAGTCACTGTTTTCACTCAAGTGGCAATATGGCAAAGATCAAGCCTGAGTCTGAAACCTCGACCAGTGGGTCAATACTCAGGGGCCTGAAAATCTATTACTGCGCTGCCTTTTGACTAAACTGCATTGCATGGGTGCAGAACCATGCTACAGTTTGGTACATACGCTTTTAGTTTGTGTGCTGGTGGGACAACAAAGCCTTAATTTACTTTAGGGAAGTAAAAGAGCACTTTATAGCCAGATAAGACCCAGGTTGTGAAGAGTGTAATGCGGTTTTTGTCAGTGTATTACCTTTTTTTAGTTATGTTCAAAGCTCACATATCTCTGTGTCTCTTTCTGTTTTTATCTCTCAAACAGGTTCACTCAGTCTCTCCATTTGCATCTCTATATGCCCTCATGTCTGGCCTTCATGGCTGCCATCACTTCTATAATCTACTACCACAACATAGAGACCTCCAACTTTCCAAAACTGCTGTTGGGTATGTGTTAGTGTCAGTCCAACTATGCACATAATACTATTCCCTTTACAAGTCTAACTGACACCTTTGCTATTGATTTCACTGGATGAATAGTGTTGTTTTAGTCTTAATCAACACTTCATTAGTGACACTTTTGAATAGCAAACAACAGAACAGACAGGTTGCTGGTTTGCCTCATGCTGCCCATATGGTCACTGATAGTTCAAACAGCTGTATGTAACATAGCATAATTACATCTTATCTGAGGCTTATTTGATTAAGAGGGATACTAACAGACGTTTAAAGATCAACACGATAAAATGCTTTGGCATGCCTCTATGTCCCAGGGGTCCTTGTGATTATAACCACAGCCACTGATAGAATTATCCTCATTAGGACAAAACTACAGCTGCAGTATATCTAATAAACAATGGGGGCATTTTGGATTGTTACGTAAAAGCCACTGCATTGCAGTATGTGAGATTAATGCTTGCTTTATGGTTGAATGGCGTTTTCCATTCTCTAATATGAATTCACTTGCAGAAACATGAGACAACATTTATATGGCACTGGCCTATCTATGTGTTATTTATGATCTGTGTAAATCCCCAGTAATCTCTTTGAGTCAATATACCCTATACAACCTTTTCTATCAGTTGTATCACTGCTGTACAGCGCATCTAGGCTTACGTGCTTCAGGTCATGATTATGATGCTAGATGTAACCTTCATTCATCTCTCAGAGCATCTGGAGAACTCTCATGACTAACAGAAAAAAATAGAAAGCTTAGGCTTCTTCATTTACGGCTGTTAGTATCCCTGTGCTTATCAACATCATTACAGTTTTCAACCAGTTAGATGGTTATTGCTTTGAGGGAGCACAGAAAGTCTAAAAGTACTTTGGTTATGCATAGCTTTAATAACATGACTAGCTTATTGTCCTCTCTTGTTACATACTAAGGAGTCATTTTCAAAGCTAGTACTGATTGCTAGTATGAAGAATATGAGCAATCACTGTTTATGCTCAATCTGCCCACAGCTTTGCTTATTTATTGGATCTTGGCATTCATTACAAAGACCATTAAGTTTGCCAAGTACACAGAGCATGGCATCGGTATGAGACAACTGCGCTACTGCCTAACTGGTCTGCTGGTTCTGCTCTATGGCCTCCTGCTGGCTGTGGAGATCAATGTTATACTAGGAAGGGTAAGTATTGTGCTGCATGTGAGACACGTGTGTGAACCTCATTACCAGTAAATTTAAAAATTTGTATGATGGAGTTGTGTGAAGATAACTAAAGGTATAGTTTGTTTCATAGTTCCATAGTTGTCTCATATATATCACTGTTGTTGTAACAAAACCTTGTATCTCCAAAATGAGAACTTTACAGGAGAGAAAAGGAAAAAACCTACTTTACTTTTAATGTAAGTCAATGGAACCAAGTCATTTTTGGTCCATTCATCATTAAATTTACACACAATGTAAAGGGCTGAATGTATTTTCAATTTATGTCAAAAACACAAAAAAAACGTAAAAAATGAAGGTACGAGTTCCGAGTTGTGGTACAACAGCAGCGAGATATATATATCTGATGAAAACCTTGTATCTTGGTTTTTGTCGTTTTTCGGCTTTGGACATAATTTGAAAATATATGTTGCCCTGTACATTGTGTATAAATTTTATGAAGAACGGACCAAAACATCCAAGTAACTGTTGCAAGGTTGGACAAGCTTAGGTTGCAGGGTTGGATTAGCAAAAATTCCATTCGACCTAGCCGGAAACGGTAGCAATCTTTATTTAATGATGGGTAACAGTTTGGAAGGTTACACTAGAACTGTGTTCTTATAGCTACTTTAAGCTGGAATGGCTGAAAATGATGAATATGTCACCATACACCATTAGGGATGCATTGATACCATTTTTTCAGACCAAGTTCAAGTATTTTTTACATATAACTTACACATAACTGTGTTACTTTAGTTACCTTGGATCGAGTAGCATTGCAGTAGAGAAGAACTGGTTTTGTTCAACATCAGAAAAGTACTTCTGTACAGTTGTAAGAAAAGTACATTTCATAGTTTTGATGCTCCTCGTCTGTCTCGTAGAACATCGGTCTCTTTGTCACAGTGATAGCGGGAATCACATTCGAGGCTAATCTGAAGAGCTCACTCGTGGAGTTTTATGTCTACAGTGTTTTGTTTGGCTAGTTGACCTGTAGTTGGATGTCCTTTAAAGCCAGACATACACTGCACGATTTTAGAAATCTTTTTCTTTGGTGAGTCACACTGTAAGTTTGAATAGTCCAACATGTACGGACTAAGCCTACGATTTACATACTCACACTGTATAAAAATGCTCAGTCCATGCTGTGTGAAATGCAGCCCCTACTGACAGCTCTGTCCATGAACAATTTAAAATAAAGCTGGTTCATTCAAAATAACATACTGCATACATACTGAGCAAACAAGCTGAGAAACAGCTGCAGCGCTGCTAACCAAACTGTGCCTTGAAATGTACACGTTAGGACAGTGTAGTCTCTACAGCCTATTTTGACAGTTTTAAAAATTAATGTTTATACCTCGCAATTCTACTCAGTCAAACAGAGTAAAGGCATATATGGGTGACTTTTTTGCCTCTGTTTTGTTAGCCTGTGTGTCTCCACCCATACTGGCAAAGTGTTTATGATTGTGTTTATGTGTGTAAAAATGGCATAAAATCGCACTGTGTATTTCTGGGGGAAATTTGCCAAGGCAGAATATTTAAAGTGACCATTCACTTTGTGTCCACTGTCACGGTGTCAGAAACACCTCAGTGTGTGAGCACACAGATTTGGGGGTTTTCATAAAAACTGTTGTGAACTACAATTTCTCGTTAGTCTGAATGGAAATGGAAATCATTAAAGGTCGACCATCCTTGCAAGAGTTGCTATGAAAGAATGCACAGGTGGGCAGATCATGGAAATGTCAGTCGTGCCCTCTGCAATTGATTAAACATAAAACGCACCAACTGATTCAATAATATGTCATCTACTGCATAAAAATACAGTTAAATCTACCACTGCATTTCTCTGACCCACTCTGACCCACTGGGCATCTTGTTATGGTGTGTTCTATAAACTCAGTTAATTGCAGAATAATACAGTAATTACAATGACAATATTAACTAAATCACAAGGTCCTAATTATGTGTGCTTCTCTGTACTCAAACCTCTTCTGTTGACTTTTCTCTTTTATTGGTTTTCTCCTTTGTTGACTGAAGCTGCTTGAATTGATTTGTGGCTAATGCTTGTATTAATGCGCATTCAGCTAAGAGCGGTCTCTACACTCTTGTAATAAACTGAAAGACTATTTCTGAAGAAAGACATTTAAGTAATGTTTGTTAGTCAGCAACTCTGAAAGACTTGCTGTGTCGGGGTTATTAAAGTTCAATCTCAGAGGCTCTGACTGTAGGCTTTTTTAGCCTTCAGTTGAAAATATAGCGTTTTTCTCCTTGATGAGAAATTTCTCAGCCTGACCTTCTCCTCTCAGCCCTAGAAGGGTGGCCATGCATCCTCAGCATGTGTATGCTCAGGGACACGCTCCTCCAACATCTTTACCAGCTCATAAGCAGACTGTCCTTATCAGCACTTATTGTCTAGGCCTGCAGTAGCAAGGGAGGCCGATTCTATCAGAAAGCAGCATTGTTTGAGAGGGAGACTTGTGTAATCAGGGCAAGGGGTTGTTAATAAGCCTAGGATAGTGTTGCTGCTGATGGTGGTGATACTGTGGACAATGTTGTGTCGTGCTGTTTTTTTTATTTTTTTGTTGCATGATGTGAATGGCAGGAGCTCTGTCTGATCATTGGAAAACAAAAGTTATTTCACAGATGAAAAGATCGTCTTGGTTGAATGATAAGTCCTTTATTGCTGTATCGAGAGGTACGTGATGTGCATAAACAAGAGTAATTTTGGGGTATGTTTATGTGCATTTGTATTGTCATTGATCTCGCACCATGTGTGTTTGTGCTTTCATAGAAATTTCTTTGATCCATTCCTAGAGTGTCCTTCAAAGCATAAGTTTAGTTCCAGTTGAATGGACACTGTGTGTGTGTTTAGATTGGAAGCTTAGTTGTGGCACATCTGTGCTCTCTCCAAGAGCAATCAAGCCTCTTGCCTTTTAGCATCATCCTTTTGATTTTTCCATGCCAACATTGAGGCTTCTTCAATGCCTTTTCTAATTGCTCTTAGTACTGATGAATATAGGTTTCTGTTGGAGGCTACAATGTGTAAAGGCTTCAGTCCCCCCTGAGTTTTTTTTAACATTAATGATGCATTGATAGATTGAACATTCTTTTAGGAGTCATCTATTGTAGGGTTAATTACAGGATTTGTAATTATAATTGTAGATGGTTAATTGCAGTGGTTAAGCTGGAGAGTAGTGGGTTATCTGTATGGATATAAATAGCCAGCTGCTTGAAAGCTCCTTGTATGATCTTTTGCTGGCATGTAACCTACTTTTCTCAGGCTATCCATTAATGCTTGTCAGTGATGCACAACAGAAATGCAGAGGGATTTTTTTTGGTGGAGTCACTCATGATAGAATCCTGGCATCCATATAGCATTGTCCATTTTTCCTGCTCTGGTTTCTTTCTTTTTTATGTATGTCACCTTTTATGTCAACTACATACTCCAGACTCTGTCTGGTATACAGCGTATAACCTACAGCATCTGGCCATCTTGTAGAAACAGTTCTTCTTTATTTTATTTGAAGATGGTTTTGCTTATTGCTTGTGTGGGATGTAGGTTTCAATTAATGTTTTCTGTTGGCTCACTAAATAAGCATTATTTACCACCTGCAGCCACTCTCAGAAACCATGCCAGTTCTCGAAGCAGCCTGTCTGGGTAGCAAGGTTATATACAGAGCTGATTTGAGAGAGGTATTGCATTGCTCTATATGCTCTAGCAGATATATTGTATAAAAGTGTTTTTTGTTGTCAAAGTGCTGTGTATTCTCCCTGACTATATATATGTATGTATACTTTGCCCCCAGGCATTTTATCCTAATTTCATTACAGGAGTTTTCTTACAGTGGGCAGTGTATTTCTAAGTATTTGTTACAAATGTACATTTAATGAGGTTTGTCTTTAGTGGTACACTACACATCTTTATTTTTACCCCCTAGTCCCTTGCTCATCTTGCTTATCCGTCTAATGCCGTTGCTCTGTGTGTACAGCGCTATATGTGTTTTGCCCACCCCACGGAAGTGAAGCCTCCTGAGGACCTGCAGGACCTGGGTGTACGCTTCCTGCAGCCATTCGTCAACCTGCTGTCGAAGAGCACATACTGGTGGATGAATACCTTTATCACGACTGCTCACAGGCGTCCTATTGACCTGAAGGTCATCGGCAAGCTGCCCATCGCCATGAGAGCTCTCACAAATTACATGAAGCTGCGCAAGGCCTTTGAGGCTCAGAAGGTACCAGACCTACTGTATACTTTAAGAACAGAGAGATCGCAACCATATAGGGAGATTATATTACTGTTTATCATTGCTGTTATAAGAAAATATTGCAACTCCAGTTTTTCTGTTTTAATACCTTTGAAAACACCAGCTTCCCTTTGTGTGCATATTTCAAGATGGATAGAATTGGTCTGAAATTAGATATAAGATTTTTTTAATGATGATAAGTTTAGAACATTTATTCCTTCTTCTATAAATGTACAGTTTCAGATAAAGATAGAACAGTGACACTTTTTATTTACCCATACCAGTATTCAAACCTTGATATATATTTTTCATTAAAAACTACTAAGCTTAAATACTGCTAAGCTATTTTAATTGAAGCACTTTTCACTCATGGAAGACTGAAACACTCTACCACCTTACAAGTAAAAATACATTGTCAACAACTTGTCTTATATAAAACCAAGATTTTTTCTCCATTAAATGGGTAATCAGAATTATGATGTAGTAATGGGAGATTTCATATGAAAAACACAATTTGTTGAAATAGTGAAACTAAAAACTTGCACATTTTCAGTAGGTTGGTAAGTTAACAAGTGAACATTTTAGTTCAGTTTTATGCTTTAATTTAGTTTAGTAGTAGTAATTTTTTAGAATTTCATGAGACATTTAATGCAATGTGTCTGGCTCTGTATTAATATGTGTTCTGATTTAAGCATTTTAAAATTAAAATATTTTACAAAAATACATATTTTCATATTAAAGAAAGCATTACACAGCCATGTGTTTCAAGATGGCTACCAACTAAACAAAACGTTTCATGTTTTTCCAGCTAAAAAATAAACATTTTCTAGTCAGACTCATCATGCTATTGATTCTCATTACAACTGAGGGTAATTTCCCATATTTAAAGAAAAGTTAGATTATTATAGTTTGATCAATACATACTTGTTTACATTCTCAATATATATATAGAATAAAATATTGCGTAATAGCTTCTCTGTTTTTGCTCATCCACTGCAACACCATTCTTTTTTTCTGACTTTTTTTAAAGCCACTGAAGTTTTGTTTTGTGTTTGAAATAATAACTGTCAGACTGCTGAAAAGCTGTAGCAAATATACTAGGCTGGCAAAATAGGGATAAAATAGACAACAACCTGGACCTCCAGGAGGAATACAGAAGAAAGGAGTGAAAACAGTTAGGGGTCAGAGAGGTTGCAGTAGGAGTAATCATGAAGCCAAACTGTTTTAAATAGTCCTAACACACACTCTTTCTCTTATTCTGTCCCTTATCCTATAAACCCCCCACACACAAACACACATATGCACACAGCCAGCAGGGTTATGATGATGTCATTGTGTACTCTGCAACAGTAAAAATTTGTTCACTGGTAGATATTTAGCTGTACTGTTTCCATACCATACCATGGTGCTTAGACAAAGCAGTGCTGATTATCTGAAGTTGAAATGACAGGACTGCTTTACATAATTTCCATGTTAGCGATTGGCATCGTTTCACAAATAATCCACAGTAAAATCATTTTTTAATCATAAGAAATTTAGAAGCTTTAAAAATGTTCTATTTTATTACATCAGAAAGGCTCTGTAGTCAACATTTTCATCTCATCTTGTTAGTATTTACCAACAGTGAACACAGTTTTTGAAAATACTTTGGGTTAATCTAAAAACACAAAAAAATGGTCTGAAAATTTGGTTTGTGTTTCAGTAACTTGTTATGTTTTTTTTTAATCAAAAAGGCCTTATTTCATTGAAGGTTTTATTATGTGTATTTAAATAGTCAGATTTATTTTTCTTTTTTTTTGGTTTGCGATAATTACATTTTTTTTGGACTCGTTCAAGAAAATAACCATAAAAATGTGGAAAGTGGTCAGATATGTCTTGATAATTAGGCTGACTCCTGACAATAGTAACAACGATAACTCACTTTACATTTCATGTTCCAAAGCTCAGTTGGAGGTTTAGAATCTGCACTTTTGACAGAATTTCTCTGCTTGTTTCAGTGAATGATCAATAATTGAATGAGTAAGAAATAATTAATATTAAATTATGAATATGATTAATATTTAGTGATATAAGCAACTTCTAAAGGTTAAAGAATTACAACAATTACTCAGAAAGAAATACAAGTATGAGACTTTTTCTTCTAAAAATTACTCATCAAAGGCTCCTTGTCCTGTAGACAGTGTTTATTATTTACCCCTCTTGGCTGATATGGAGATGGATTAGTAATATTATTCATCTGCAGGGTCTAGTGAGACATAGCAAAAGAAAAACATGCATTGAGTTATTTTCAGCTCCACTTCCTCATTCACTTTACCCTGTCACACTGCAGCAATTCTGTGATTTTTTCAGGCTTTATTTGTCATCAAATCTAACTGAATTAGTATTTTCTGATGATACTGACCTGATGACAGAATTGGGTGTTGGATCAGTGTCAGTAGTTTAGAAGATAAGAAATTTTCTTGCATAAGCAATGCTATGCTTCTTACAAAGCTTTAAGACTGAAAAGTGTTTTTTAATGTTTTATTAGAGAGAGTTAACAGAAGGACTGGCTGGTCCTGAACCTGCTTTTTTCATATAATACATATGAGATCAAACAAGCTTAAGCTTAGCCATCCTGTTAACAGAGTAATACGCATTTAAAGAAGATGAAGACGTGTTAGTGGATCCTCTTTCTGCTGTAACTTTGGTATTTGGTGTGGAGGCCAGTAGCTTGAGCAGGTCTTTGATGGTGATGAGACAGGTCAGATGATTCAGAATGGTCATGCTACGGGCTGCATGCTGGAGTCGGGGAGGTGGTCATTTTCTGCTCATAGGCCATTACTAAAGAGAGTGTGTGTGTAAACCATACTTTTGCTTCCTTCCGGGGATGGAAGAACAAAGCTGCTCCCTTTCCACTGTGAATACGGCGACATCTTGACCTTTTGTGGGGTGAAAGCTCTCTGTCACTTTCTGTTCATGAGAATGAGAAGGACTATGTGTGTGTGTGTTTGTGAGAGAGAGGGGGAACCGCAGGTAGACGGATGCTGTGGCTGTGGTTCTGCGTCAGTGTTCACGTGCTTTGGGAGGGATGTGTGATGGCAGTCACGTCTCTAATCACAAACACTCTCCTCCCCCGTCCAGATGCTACTTAAGATAACAAACACATATTAAACTGGAACTTAGGGGCTACATAGCTGACTCAATAAACATCATCACTCACATGTTAGTATTGCATTAGATTATTAAAGTGTCGTAAAAGCCTGCAACTACAAATAAAGGTGCAAATATATTATTTGGGGTGAAGAGAACCTTTCAATGCATGGTTCATAATGCGTAAGTATTTTTCAACCTAATCTCTATCTGCTGCTTCTGTAGCAGGGCTGGAGAGAGACTTGTTTTCAGACCAAGGGTTACATGATGCAGACCAGCCCACCCCAAACTCTACATACACACAGTGTGGGTAGGCAAACTAGACAGAGATTTCGTAGATACCATTTCGAAACACACTAATGTTCAGCAGTGTCATTCCATCAGGTTATAGGCTATTCCTAACAGCAGTGCCGTCATCACCCTACATTTTCAATATGTTTATGGTGATGCAAAACAACAGCAATCAACCAGAAAGCTGGATTCATATAAACACAACCAGCACTTCAGCATCTTTATTATCAATGATGCATTCACTCAGCACAGACAACGACTGCAGAGAAGATGATAAAACTTAAAACTAAAAGTTAAAATCAGAGAGTTGAGATGTACAAAGACAAGGAAAAACAACGCAGCGTACTCAACAGGTAGAAAAGAACATACTTTATGGGACAGATATACTTTAAAACGTCCTCGGGATGATCTTTGTATGCAACTAGAATTAAATTTAAATTTAAAAACCAGTGCTTTATAACGAACTGAAGACTTTAAACAAATGGCATAAACTCTGTACAGCACTGTCTGTTGTGTCAGCCAGCATCAGGTTAGATACTATTGTGGCCAGATTCATACAGTCGATTACAGTACAGATCACAGTAAATTACATGCTAACATCTAAATCAGGCATGTCAAACTGGGGACCTTCCAGGCCAAAGTGCTGCGCAGATTAGCGTTCACCCTTGTCTGACACTCTGAATTCAGTTCACGAAGGCCTTGCTAATTAGCTGATGAGCTGAATCAGGTGTGTTTAATGAGACAGTATGCTGACGTCTGCAGTGTTTTGGCCCATGAGGACCAGAGCTTGACACATGTGATCTAAATTAATGTTCACAGTGAGCAGCTATAAGCTACAGAGGTGTCAAACAGTGATTAGATTTAAAAAATGCTGGTGTAGTACTTTGAGGAACCATCCATTAAAAGATTTAAGGAACCAAAAATGGTTCTTCTATTACTCCCTTTCAGCAATCTCTTTTAGCACCTTTAGAAACATTGTAGTGATTTTCATGTGAATTTCATGGTATTAGAATAAAAATGATTTTAGATAAAAATGCAGTTTGATGCTGATCATCTACAGTCTTGAAGGAAAACAACTCTTTATTATTTTATAATTGAATCTCAAGTGCCATTGCCACATCTGCTGGATTTTAAGAGCCTTGACTTTTTAAGTAATTAATTAGCGTTCTAGAGCTAATGAGTTTCACCTTTGAAATTCTGTGATGCAGTAGCCTTGGCAAGAAATGGACACACCAGAAGCATCGGAGCTTGCCAATTTCTCTCTACACTCAAGCGTGAAACCCTCCTCACCCTGCATAAGTCTTTTGCACTTTCCTGTAGTATAGCCATCTCTGAACTTCATTACTGCAGTGCAAAAGGGGTCATCTTTAAATTGTTATTGCTTGTCTAATGTTTTATGTTATCTCTCTCTCTCTCTTTCTCTGACAGAGGCCGGATGGGCTCCAGCCTCAGGGACCCCAGTGGATCTGGAGAGCCCTGCGTCAGGCCTACGGGAAGCCCCTAATTCTGAGCATCACTTTCCGTTTCCTGGCTGACCTGCTAGGTTTTGTCGGGCCACTGTGCATCTCAGGCATTGTGCACCACATCAGCAAGAAGAACCACACAATCCAGGCACCAGTAAGAGCCTCTAACTGCTAGAGCTGGGAGATAGGGCCCTCAGAATAATGCACAAGAATTTTAGTGCCATGATGCTTAGTAACATTATCTCAGAGGCCAAAGAATTTTATTTTGGCCAAGAAATGAGTGCATGTTTTTTTTAATATTATTGTAATCAGTTAGAATCAGTTATAGTGTTCCAAAATGGGTGCAGTTGAATTGCCACCTGCAGATCGATGCACCATGATGCATTGATGAGTTTTTACACATTTAAATATACAAAAACATTTATAAAATGTAAAGATGCAAGGAGAAAATGTATTTTTTCTCATCAGTAGAGAAGATCAGTGTGCTGTCACAAACATTTGCTGTGTCATAAAACATTCACTCATGTATGAAACTTGACTGGTATTATAACATATAGAACTGTCTTGCTTACCACTGCTTATATGTTGATTATTCCTCAGTGTATAGCGGTACTGCTGATTGGCTTACTCATGCTGAAAAAAGGTTCTTATTCATTTTGCTGATTGTCCTGTTACTGGCTTCAAGGCAAGGTCAAGACTTTTAGAGTGTCTTTGAGAGTTTGATTAGGGAGTCATTCTGCTCTAATGCCTATTAGCTCTAATTCAGCTGTGGTTCTGCACGTAGCATTTCTCTGTGCTTCATTGCCATGACGTTCTCATTCATCTTCATCAAATATTAACAGGGCTGAATAGACTGATGTCTGCCTCTCAAATTTCTGCCCTTTCATGTGTCCGATGTAACATCATGATGTCCCTTAACACGTCAAGAGCGTGTCTCATAGACATGGCAAAGTTTCTTGGACTGCAGGTGTGATGCCTACTTGCTTAACACTGATAGCTGGTCTTGTGCTGTAACTGAATATTAAACTGATAGTTCCACATATGTTCATCCATGAACTGTTTGCTTTCATTACTATAATAAGCAGTATAAGAACAGCTCAGTAAATATAACAATTTGAGCAGTGACTCAGATTGAAAAACATTTAATGGAATACTTCATGAATAATGTCTGTCATAGGCTTGTGTTCTTTCAGGCAGTATTTATTTAGTTACCTCTCTGGCCTGATATGGAGATTAAGTAGTAGTATTGTTCATCTGCAGCACCTGGTGAGACTTAGCAGAAGGAAAAGATGGATCTGAATTATTTACAGCTCTCTTTCCTCATCAGTCATTCCATATGCCTCCACTGTGCCACTGTCCTCTCTCTTTGAGTTCACCTCAACCTCTGTTATTCTTAGTTCTCCTTACTCTCTCCTTTCTTGGCTTGCTAGCACATTGTAATGCATGATTGTGGCTACAGGCTTTGTAATTTATTTTAATCAGAATGCCCTGCTGGACTGTCACTGTCTTGCCTTTAAAGTGGCAGTAATCTCTCACACTTAAGGCGATTACTTTAGACTGAGAAAAGACACCCTACAGACAGAGGCAATGGCTAATTCTGTTGTCGTTTTAGGCCAAGAGCCCATTTTCTTAATGATAATTAACTCTTCTCAGCGGCTCTAATCTTTAGGTACAGAGATTCATAATTAGACATCTGTGAAATGTGTTCTTTAGTGTGTTTACATGTGAATAGGCCTTCAAATGAGTAAATATTTTTTTTGTCTCTCAAGTGCTTTACAAGTATGTAGATTTCCTTTTGTAAAATTCAATTAGGCTTTGATATCACTTCTACTCCTTTTTCATTAATGTCAACACACAACATACACTGCTGTTTGATTAGGTTCACCTATGTGGCTCTTGTGAGCGTTCCTCATTGGTTTTGTAATTGAACATATTCAAGCTGGACTGTCTGTTTTATGTGTTTGGTCAATACATGGGCAGTTAGTTGGAAATGTTCTAAAAATTTCACGTTCACAAACTGTCTGGATCCAGATAAGCATTTTAAACGCCCTGGAGTTTGTTTAAGAGATGGTTGCAAACTTCCTGGCCATGCTTTCTGCCTCAGATTGTTCTTGCTGATCTCCAAGTGCTCTTCACTACATGCTGTAGACATGCAGATGACTAGAGCATCAAGTAAATATCACTTGGAAACAAGCAGTCACTTTGAAATGTATTAAGGAAGTTCAGAGGTGAGAATGCACATATACTGTCTTGGTTATGTCTAAACAGCCCAAGGTTCCTTTTAAACCACATATGGATTTATATTCCACGTGGCAGTCATGATTTCCTTAAAAGATGTAGCTCCAAGCCAAATGTGTGATACCTGATATCAGCTATTGCTTGGCCAGTTTGCTGAATCAGTGTATGTGAGTGTGAAAGCTTTCCCCTTCCTGTTCCAGACAGAGTGACCTTGAAACCTGGACGATAGACACCTAACACAAGGCAGTGATGCTGTGCTCACCTAATAGTGTATTTACCTCCTTTTGTTTCAGGCCCAGTTGTTGGGGATCTATTTCATCTCCTCGCAGGAGTTTCTTGCTAATGCCTATGTGCTGGCAGTGTTGCTTTTCTTTGCTCTGCTCCTGCAGAGAACGTTCCTTCAAGCCTCCTACTACTCAGCCATCCAGACCGGAATCAACCTGAGAGGAGCCATTCAGGTATATATGAGCTTATATGAGGCTAAAATATTTTCAGTGTGCCGACACAAAGGCCATAAAATGACAGACATCAATGTTTAATCTGCCAGGGACACTATCAGCAGTATAAATGTCAGGTTGTTGTCTTACTGTAGTAGATGCCACTTCAGTAACCAAAACAAACAGCTATTGTATCCAGCATGGTTCAACATAAGTAAGGTTAGGCAGCCGTATTATATGACAGAGGTCAAGATTATTGTGTTTGCTATACATCTTTTTATCACTGTTTCCTTTGTGGTCTTGTATCTGGCAGACAAAGATCTTCAATAAAATTATGCGTCTGTGCACCTCTAACATGTCTATGGGAGAGATGACAGTGGGCCAAATTTGCAACCTGGTGGCCATAGACACCAACCAGCTAATGTGGTTTTTCTTCCTGTGTCCCAATCTGTGGGCCATGCCAGTACAGGTAAGATTCACAAGAGCCTTCTGGCTCCTGCAGTCTTGTGCGGTAGTGTCAGATATTAGCAGTCAGAAAGAGCCTTGACCCTGCTGTGTGCACTTGTTTCACTGGTTCTTTCATTTCATGCAGTGCTGCTCATTAGTAGCCCCCCTACAAGAATCATAAAAGGAAAATGCACATAAATTTATCTTTAATACTATAACAAATATAGCTTTACCCACCAATCACTGATGTGGTACTCTACCTTAATTTAACTTTATCACTCCTTAAAAATACTAATGTGTTGCCCTAACGCACTGCTGTGTCTGATCCACTCAGACCAGCCTAACACACACTAACACACCACCACCACATCAGTGTTACTCTAGTGAACCACTGTAGAACAGGGTAAAAGGGGGCTAACAAAGTATGCAGAGAAACAGATGGACTACAGTCTGTAACTGTAGAACTACAAAGTGCACCTATATAGTAAGTGGAGCTGATAAAATGGACAATGAACATAGAAATAAGGAGGTGGTCATAATGTTATGCCTGATCGGTGTGTTGTCTTTAGTGTTTTTTTTTCTGTGTTCTAAGCCTGGGGTTCTCAACCTTTCCCTACCCAAGGCCCACCTGTTTTTAACTGCAAATCATAGCGGCCTACAGGAAAACTAAAATCAGCTTTTTAAAATACAATTTTCTTTTTCTTTTAAAATGCTAACACTGAAAACCTGAGAATTAAGGCCTGAAAAGGATCAGATCATCCATGCCCTCTGTCAGTAGATTTGCAAAATTTGCAGTTGTGTTAAAAAACATATAGCTGTAGTGATATAAAGAAGGGAGTGAAAAAGAAAAGTAGAAATGTACGAAGTAGAAGTGGAATATGATCCGGAGCTGCAGTCCATCGTATTTTCACTGAAAATGCTCTGCTGGCTTTCCCCAAAAGAGGAATCGTTTGGTCTCTTTAGTTTTGAGGGGTTGAAATCATCAAACCACACTAAAGACACTCCACTCAACAGGGCTTTTGGAGTAACGCTGTCACAATCAACAATAATAATCAATAATCTTACTTGATATCTGCTTCTCATTGGTTGATCAGTTTGAGTTTAGCATCCATGATGACATATCAGTGCTTGTCCATTGAGGTTTTTTTTGTGATTTTAAACTTTTTGGGGCAGATTTACTAGGGTTGCACTGATATCGATACCATGTTGGTTTAAGTGCCGATACAGCATCGGTATTGTGATAGGGATACCGATATCTATGACTGACACCACAAAAAAATTTCTGATGCACCTGCACACCAGTAGACAGACCCTAACAACACATTGTGGGTTGACAAGCAGCAGTGAAAATGATAATCAGGGTTCAGTGTTAACTTTTTTTCCCAACTTGCCCAATCGGGCAAGCGACCTAAAAGTTCACTGTCCCGAACCAAATTTCTACTGTCCTGAACAAATCTTTGTATTTTATAGTATAGTATTCATATATAAATAAGCACATACAAGCTAATGTATTCAATTAAGATGTTTTTTTTAAATATGTATGCACTTTCACAATTACTTTCACTGGACTTATTTTCTTTTTGCTGTAAATAAGCAAAGGTTTTATAACAGCAGTACTGTGCTGCAGGTCCTCCACAGCCACAATGTGTTTATTACTGGCTCTCCATACTTTAAAAACCTCACTATCACCCCTTCAAGGTCTCTTGTGCTGGCATCAGTAGAGGCATTAGCCAGAATGCTAATAAAAGCTGGACAACTGAAGCTCTTTCAAACGGGATTCCAATAAAGCATCATAGATCACCATAGATAGAAACCAAATGAGTGGCGCAATGTTTTTACTAAAAGTGCTCAAATTCATACCTCTGAATTGCATTTCTGTTTTATTATGAATACATTCACATTAAAGTTATTAATAAACTTAACATTAGCATTTGCATGCACAAGTTAGCATATATAACCTTATGTTCTGCAAGCCATGTCAGTACAATACTGGCTACCAAGTTCCAGTCCACCTTTAATTTGAAGGTCTATCTCATGTGTACACTCAGTAAAAGGTTTTTCTCTTTTGACCGTGTGATATGTTGTGACTAACTTGGTCAGTTTGGAATCTGCTTCACTGTTTATCCATCGTATGCACATGGTGAGCGGCCCAGACACGCAATCGGCTTTTTTTCGCTGCTATACACGCATGTGACACAGAGGTTTGTTCTGACGATTACCTTTTCTAAAAGTTGTGTAGTACTGACAAACAAGAGCCACTTTTATCTGCCTTGTTAGGATATTGCCTACAAAGTTTACAGAACATCTCAGGTACAGAGGAATCTGAGTCTGAGACGAGTCTGAACCCTGGTAATGGCAAAATCTGTAACGACAGTATGTTGTGGTAGTAGTGGGTGGTATACCATTTGGAATTTTTCTTGGTTTCACCGTTGTCACAAATACACCAGATAACACAACATACAAACAGTGAAAAACATGCTAAACCTTAGCAACTGTCCTTCAGTAATCACTCATCTCTTGCTGTATAGTTACAGTTACAGTCTGAGTTAATGTTAGTCTAAGTTGTTTTCAAGGATTGTGTTAGATAGACACATGGAAGTCAAAATAATCACTTATTTTCTTGAATTTCTGATGTATTATGTTCAAGTAATGTCTTGTTTTCTCAAAATAATTATTACTCCAGGAGTAATAAGTTTTTTCTCATCTTTGTCAATGCTTTAAAGTCAAAATCATGAGGAAATGTCATTATTTCTATTTTTTACCCAGTCTTGCACCACAGATTTAAACTTTTTCTACTGTTTTTACTTTATTTCTCTTAATGTTTCATGATTCATGTGTTGCTTAAACTGCAAAATTTTGATTTACCAGCACAGCCAGTGCATACCAGATGTAATTTGTAGCGGATTAATCCCAACAGATCAGTGAAAACTGTGAAATACTGTCACAGCATGCAGCACTATTCTCGCATTTTATCTTTCATGGCTTCTATGAATGTCTATCACACCTGTTTTGTGGCTTGTGGCTCCAGAGAGCTGAAACGTCAAATATGCACGCAGCACATGCTATTTATAGCCTTGTCCTTGAAGGCCTTTCTGCAATCAAACTCAATTTCTTCTAGTGTGGTTTCTGTTTCTCTCCCACTGAGGTTCTCCAGTGATGGAGCAACTGCACATTCCTATTAATTTGAGTGTAACAGGGTAAAACTCTTAACATCTCCTCTTACAGATTCACAATGCAATTACATTAACCTTGATGGGATAAGTGCAGTGATTTATGTAACAGGTTACTGACTTATTCTTGTGAGGAACGGAGATTTTTTACAAATAAAGCAACATGATTCAGATGCAGCAATTGTGTGAAAATGAATAATTGTCGCCTGTGCTGTTGGTGGTTTCAGAGATGGTAGCCCAGATTCAAAAAGATGATTTTGATGATCAATGAAATGTAGTTATCCTCACCAGTGCCTTCATTTTTGCAGATAGAGAGTGTTTTTGTCATTCATTTTGCAAAGAGAAATTGGAATTCTCCATTCATAGCTACAGAACAGTTTCTGGTCCCTTGAGTCTTTCACCACATGCTGTTCCATAATGGCCTATGTCAGCTTTGTTTTGCACTGCAGTATTAACTGTCACTCATGCGCACAGGGCAGCAGGACATTCTTTTCGTTCATTAGTGATTACTGTGGCAGATCGCAGTGACTCAGAGAATCCACCAGAGGTATCTGGACCAGGGATAATGACAGGAACAGACTGTCTGCTACAACCCATCTCAGTCTCTGAGCTGTTTGGTGTAATTTTCAGATCAAAAATGCATGGGAGTGGATTTTAATCTCATTTAAAAAATAGTCCTCTTAACATAATGCTGTGGCACCACGGGACAGCCATTATGTCAAATAAAATTATATGTACAGGCTTATGCTGCACCTCTTTATTTTGTTCCGTTATCCAATATACTGCAAACTTGGAAAACACACTACATTGAAGAATGAGTAGCCCATCTTTGGGGCGTTTTTTTTGAAAGTGTAAAATTAACACATTTTCTGTCTTTTTTTCTTTTTCCTCCACAAAGCTTGTTAACAGTTTCTCATACTCCATAAATCGGCTGGCAGATAGCCATGAAACTGTGAAATTATTCATGTCACAAAATCTTTACTGAATAAGGACTGGAAAATGAACTAAACTGGCTTCTGCTCTGTTGTAGATCATAGTGGGGGTGATTCTGCTCTACTACCTCCTGGGAATAAGTGCCTTGATTGGGGCAACCGTCATTGCTCTCCTGGCCCCTGTGCAGTACTTTTTGGCAACTAAATTGTCCCAAGCACAAAAAAGCACTCTGGTGAGTTCCCTTCCCATTTAGCATCCCAAATGCTACCATATACAGTTTGCGCTTTAGAGTCTGGCTATGAGAGCATGTGCAAATATGGACTGCATTCAAATATAGATGATACAGTATTTTGGCAGTAACTGCACTGTCACTTTTCACCAAGGTCTAGGAAACTTACATGCTTTCTCTGTGTTTAGCTTGGTTGTTTTTACATATGATGGCTTGATTCCAATCAATAATAACATGCAAAAAATGCAAAAATGGCTTTTCTGCTGTCCATTAGGAGTACTCCAGTGAGCGGCTGAAGAAAACCAATGAACTGTTGCGGGGTATCAAGCTGCTGAAACTCTATGCCTGGGAGCACATCTTCTGCTCCAGCGTAGAGGAGACAAGGAGGAAGGAGCTCACCAGCCTGCAGGCCTTCGCCCTCTACACTTCTGTCTCCAGTGAGAAAACCCTATTTATATTGTGCTCCATGGATTAAAAGCAGCAGATCTTATACATCTGTGTTGAATAAAGAAGCAACAGCTGATTTGAGATTGCAATCCTAATATGCTCCTCATGCACATTTTATGTGTTTTTCAGTTTTTATGAATGCCGCTATTCCAATTGCTGCAGTTCTTACTGTAAGTACAACTTTCTGGTTAGCACTGAACTGGCAAAGTCCAGCCCAGTGTGGTTATAGAGAGACACAGACTAAACTGTTCTTACACAGGAATTCAGACCCTGTTTATATTTACCCTGGCTTACTGTTTAACTAGTCACAACAGTTGCAGAGCCGATAAAAACAAAACTGTAAAGGTGAACGTTGCAGTGTTGTGTGTTTGTTTATATGTGTGGGTGTGTGGTTTATCCAGACATTTGTGGTCCATGTGCACCTGTCGGATGATGCAGACCTGTCCCCAGCTGTGGCATTCGCCTCGCTATCTCTTTTCCACATCCTCGTCACACCTCTCTTTCTCCTGTCCAGTGTGGTTCGCTCTACGGTCAAAGCACTTGTCAGGTTAGCCACATATTGTCATGGCGCACACTAATATTACTTTTTCAGGGGTCTTCTTGCAGCTGCAAAGACAGCTGTATATCCAAGTTCCTGTTGCTAGACTGTTATTTATAGCTAGCCATTACAAAACATCAGAATGTAGTGGAATTCCTGCAAGACATTTTAAGGAGCTGGGTCGTGGAAAAATGTTTTTTATTTGCTTTTTTGCAAACATTGTTCAAGTTGTTTAGTTTTAAAACATTCCCACTCTTATTCCTGCAGTACATATGTGAAAACAAAGATGGAGGATATGGGGATAATTGAATAAACTAAGCTTTTCTGACTGTTAGAAAGCAAATGTACTCTATATGGCTAAAAGTTTGTTGACACTCCAACACGGAGTTGAGGTGTTTCAGCCACGCTCACTGCTAACGTGAATAAAATAAAGCACATAGCCATGAAATCTCCATAGACTGGGTCCATGTGCACAAATTGAGGTCCATAGAGGCACGTTTTGATGATTTTGATTGGTGAGTTTGGTATGGTGGAAATCCAGTGGCCTCTTCAGAACCCTAACCTCAACCCCACTGGACACCTTTGGGATGAATTGGAGAATTGATTGTGTTGTCAAACATCAGTGTCTGACCTCACAAATGCTCTTTTGACTAAATGGGCACAAATTCCCACAGACACACTCCAAAAAAAAATTGTGGAAAGCCTTCCCAGAAGAGTGGAGGCTGTTATAGCCACTAAGGGGGTGCCAAATCCATATTACTACTCATGCTTTTGATAAGCTCATATAGGTATAATGATCAGGTGTTCACATTTTGTTAGCCATATAGTGTGTCATTGCAGTTTTCAAATTAAATCAGACATGCCTAAGGATTGGTAAAAGTAATTTTTTCCAGGGCCCTTGGAAACTTAACAGTTCAATTTCAGCCCTGACACAGTTGGCACAATACAGGACAGACAATCAAAACAGGTCATGTACATACAGTGAGAGGAAACAAGTATTCAGACACTTCTTGTTTTTGTTATTTAGTATACTTCCAGTGCATATATCCATGTCAAATGTACACACATAATGTCTTTTGACTTTATGTTTGTACATGAACAAAATTGATAAGGAAAAATATTATGAGAAGTATTATGAAGTATTGTGACACTATATGAAAAAATACATATATGTAAAAGTTAAAAATAAAATGTAAAAAGCTCTACAAATAAATGCTGCTAAATAAAAATATTCTTATGCAGATTGCACCCACTGTCATAATAAAACACGTTGGCATTGGTTGAGAAGATTTCACAAAATCACGAAAAATGAAAGAGCTTCCTAAAGATCTCAGGGACAACATTATTTAAGAACATTTGAATGGAAAAAGCTGCAAAGCCATAGCAAAGACCTTGAACAACCCTGTCAGTACAAGTGGTGGGACACCTTATCAAGATTACTCTTAGACTATTGATAAGGAAGGAAGCCAGCAGTCACTCAAAAAGAGTTGCAGGATGAACTGCAGGCAGAAGAAAGAGAGCGGTTACTCAGAGAACAGTAAGCAGTGAACTGCACCAGAATCGTCTTCGTTTTGCACACAAACATTTAGATAAACCAGTCTAAACTCTTTTGGATCAATGTACTATAGTCAGAGAAAACAAAGATAGAACTCTTTGGCAAAATTTCAGCTCGTCATGTTTAGAGAACGAAGGGTTGCATGTCTGATCCCAAGAGCACCATATCCACAGTGAAGTACAGATGTGGGAGCTTCACAATTTGGAGCTGCTTTTCTGCAAGCAGTGCTGGGGCATTACTCATCATCAAAGGAAACAGGAATGGAACAATGTACTGAGACATAATAGAGGATTATTGAATCTCACCAGCCAAGAAAGGGGAGAAGAAGGATATTTCAAGAAGACAATGACCCCAAACATACAGCCAAAATAAAATAAAATAAAGTCTGGCTTCTATCAAAAAGGTGCTTGAATGCCATGTTCAGGGCTAATTGCTTTTTTTTCCATAGACTTTTCAAAGCAGTAATTGCCAACAGTGGCTTTGCAGCAATATACTAATTTATCAATATGTGGTGTACATAATTTTTTGTTGATATTTATGAGTACAAAGTCAAAAGACATTGTGTGTACATTTTAAGTGGATAAGTGTACTGGAAGTTTATTAAATGGTAAAACAAGAGTGTTCGAATGCTTGTTTCCTCTCACTGTATATCAATCTGAATGCACAATAACAAAAATATCTTGTTGGGAATGGCAAGAGGTTGGAAAATGGCAACAGATCTGTGGTTTCTGAGCAGAGAACAGATTTCCATCTTTCTCTGTTTAACTTCTTACTGTTTCTTATACTGCAGAAATATAATTCCTGCTTTTTGTCTATGGTAATGGATTATTTGAATATGTGGTAAATACCCTGTAAATATTGGTAATTGGTAATGGTGAAAGCAAGGACTGCCTTGAAATACATCAATGTACAGTTGACACAAAAGGCTCTGGATTTACTATCTACAGGGAGGCAGTGTAGGTAAACTTAATTAGCAGTTTCTATTTATTAGTGTCAGATAAATCATTTGGATTCAGTGGAGTGCTGTGCATACATTGCCGTGAGCTTTTATTCTGTGAGTCCATTCTGCATGGGGAATTGGAAACCGCTTGTGGCATCTCATAAAATCAGTGATGTGGAACGGGTTTAGAACGTGCAGGCTGTATATAGCGCAGTGTTACTGGTAAGTGAAAGGCAAAATAACAGTATGTGTCAGTCCTGGGGGTGTTTTATGGCACCAGTGACAACATATCAGACTGGAAATTGATGGGACTTGGATGAGATTGAAACTGACAGTTTAATTATATAACATGGTCACCTGTTTGCCACCTTTCAACAACAGGTTTTAAGCATGACAGTGCTAGATGTTGTGGTAGGCATGACAACACTTCGAATTCCAAAATGTTTTGAGAAACTGACTCCAATCACTCAGACAGATTGCTTTCTGATGTGTAATTTCCCTCCGTGGTCCTTCATGCTTTATTTACGCTGATGAGTCAGGTGTTCTATAGCTGTGCTGACTGGAGGGGCTGCTACTAGGAAGAGCTGTAAGTACAAGATAGGAAAGGGCTATGAAAATGATAAATAAATGGAAATGAGAGGACATCATGCTGTGCTTCACCATGCAACTGAGTATCACCATGTTCTAAATGACATACACTATAGACCAAAAATTACAGAAGCCAGCGGCTTTAAAGCTTCAAAAATGTAATATAATTAGGCCAATTTGCCATGACATGTAGTTTGACTAGTTAAGGTTTTTTTTAAAAATCTTCAGTTGTTGTACTTTTACTGTAGCATGTTATATAAGAAAAGCTTTCACACTTTTTGTTGATAAATGTCCCTTACGTTGACATTTGTGTAACACACCACGTTCAGTTAATCAAACCTTCAGCAGCATTTGGACGTGAGAAATCTGCAGATATAATTAGAACTGCATTAAATCTCTGCAAGATAATCCTCTGCATCAGAACAAATAAGAAATCAGACTTTCACTATTGCTCCAGACATTTAGTCTAAACCTTTTGCTTGATTATAATAAGCATTGTTTTTTATCTCATGAAAATGTTCACATCTATTTTTTATGTTAATATATCCTGCATATGAAACCTTAGAGGATGTTTGTGTGTCAGTGTGCAGAAGTTGAGTGAGTTCTTCTCCAGTGATGAGATTGGAGAGGAGCAGGAGCCCAAGGCTACCATTCCAACCAGCTCCACCAACCATAGCAATTACCAGGCCCTGGTGAGGATGCTCTCTGACTTTGTCTTAGTCTCTGTCTCTCTCTGTCCATCATTCTGTCAGTATATGTCAACACTTAGATCCACTTAGAGTAGGTCCCCGTGTTCCTAAGTGCTGTTTCTGTGCCTGTAGCCACTAAAGGTTGTGAACCGTAAGCATCCAGCTCGAGAGGACTGGAACAGCTATGGGCTACATAGTGAGCAAGACACAGAAACAGCAGCGGTGGAGGATGATGATACCTGCATCAAGGTGCGCCCCTAAGGAGCTGGTGGGATTACCAGATTCTCATTAGTAGGCTTTTACAGTAAACTAATGCATTACCTATCTGGTACAGGATGGAAGAAAAAAGTATTTTAGAGTTGTGAGTAAATTGTAATATGTTTTGGTTACCATTTTCACAGATAACCGGTGGATATTTCAGCTGGACTGATGGTGCACCCACTCTTTCGAATGTGGACATAAAAATCCCATTTGGTGAGTTTCTAAAAAATAACTGGAGGACACTTCACAGTAAAAAATATTTGTAAATGTCTTTTTACAGGCTATTTCTCTGTACGATTAAAGCAAAATGTTTATCTTTTAGCATTCACATGTAATTTGTTGTGTAATTTAGGTACAGTATTAATTTAGACGTAGCTGCATTATTGATCAATTTTATATATTAGTTGAAGTTTTATTAAGGTAGCTTTTAAGTTGGAGAACAAGCTAGTGAAAGTCACATTGAAGTGAATTTGTTTTGTCATTTGATGATAGAGATTATCTCTGTTTTACCTTTAGTAAGAATGGTTAGAAACTATGGTTGTTCATTAGTAAGACTTTTTCACTTTTTGTTTAAAGTAAATATGTGTGGAGTGTGTATAATTACCCTATATACTGTATAAAAACAGGCTATGTACTGTTATTTAACAGAATTTTAGATTGAAAGAGTGATGGAATTGTATGTTGATTTTACAGAAAATGTACTGCTGTTTTTGTTTGTATGATAAGTGCTTGGTCTTGCCTTACTTAATCATATGCGTTTGTCTTTGTGTATGTGTGTGCTTTTGTATGCATGTGTACATATACATGTGCATTTGTCTGTGTGTTTTCCACCAGGTCAGCTGACTATGATTGTGGGTCAGGTGGGATGCGGGAAGTCCTCTCTGTTGCTCGCTGCACTGGGAGAAATGCAAAGGATTTCTGGCATTGTCACCTGGAACAGGTAGTTATGCAGTACCCAGTAATGTCAACGTAAATAATTTAGAGCTAATTTGAAGGTTTGATAATCACTGTTTTCAGTGTTTCTCCCTCAATTTTGTTCAAAGTCCATTTCAAAGCCGTAGTGAACTTTACATGAGAGTGACCAGCCAACATTTGCCATCGCAGTGGCTTTAACTGTGGGTTTGAGAGGAGCTCAGTAAGGGTAGAAAGGGAAGCTTTCTATAAATGGAAAATGGAAGACTCTGGTAATTGAAGAGCTGGAGGTGATGGTAGAATCTGTATAGCAGAAAACAGAGTGCTCATTCAGCTATTTGTTATGTGCAGGGCTTATAGGTTCAGTCATTTATATGTAGATTGAGAAACTGAGCTTAGATTGTGGCATTTGCATTATCACCTGCATCTGATTTTATGACAAGATTATGTGCAGGAAAGGCAGTCATTTTTGTTATATAATTTGTGCGTATATTGTTTATATTTCATTCTACAGAGCACTGCAAATCACTTGGGAAAGCAACAGTAAAACTGCTTTGTTTATGAGAAATCTATTTTGTTTACCTGTACTTATCTCTTATTTTTAGAGCACTTGCAGGTTTGTTTAAGTCAACATATTTTTAAAGACTAGAGACGTATTTAAAAAATAACTATTTCTACAGTTCCAAGACAGACTTTTTATTCCAATACAGTCAAGTAAGTGTGTGTGTGTGTTTGCTGTCTCACAGAGACTGTTTGTGTATAATTACATTACAGAGGATGTGCTTTGATGCCAGAACACCTCACTGAGGAGCAATATTTAGGGAGATATAGGACAGATAGAGCCACATTCACATTTGAGTGCCAAACAGTAACACTTATGTTCCTGTGCCACACCATGCCAAGTCCACTGTCAGTTGATATGTCACCATGGTGGCTGCTACTAAACTGTGGGAATGGTACTGTCATCTTTGTCCAGTTTAGTGTGTTAAGTAGATTAAAAGACAGAGGAGAGTGATGGACACCTCTGTAATTAGATAAAAAAAAACATTAGGGCAGCAGTCAATAGAATGATTGTGTGGCTAAGTAGCAAAGACTGCTGTTTTTCTCACTGTCATTGAAATCTAATTAAACCTTCAGCTGAACATTGGCCAGATTGACTTCCTTACAGGCAATTGAGTTTTTTTTTATCTGTATTTATTTCCCATGCTGTTTTTTCTGTGACCCAAAAAGTGACTCATGATGATCCTAGTGTTTGTGCAGACACACAAATTATCTTGCATCCTTAGCTCTGTTTTGGCACTGTATGCTAACCCCAAAGTAGCTGCAGCTATCATATTTAGATGCAGTTCATGTGAGGGAGGAAATCCCTCATATTCCAATAGGGTCATGAAATGTTCACAACTGTACTGAAAAAGAGAAGGCCTTAGCAGCACACGATCACATGTCCAAACATAAACTACAGTAGCAACAGAAAACTGAAGATTACTGCTACTGCTGCTACGAAGGCCAAGGACAGCTTATCAGTCTTTGCAATCCCAGTCTTCTAAAAATACTTTCAGAGCAGAAGCTTTATTCAAAGAGCTTCTTTATCTAAGACTAAGTGTAATCTAAGTGGAACTGGCCCTAAATGTTTGTATGCTTTTTACGTGACATGTGGACAGTGTTGTTTGGGTGTGTTTTTGTACTTCAGAAGGAAATGGTCTTTAGATAGTTGCAGGGGACAAAAGAGAAGCACTGGCTAATGTTGAGAGAGTTATTTTATCAGCAGTTGTAGCAGGAAAACCTTCCCTGTCTATCTATATAATTTATCAGACAATTACTATGTGGACTTTCTTTTAGTTACGACAGATTGTTCCTACCGCCAAAGTTTGCGTCATTTCAGGTTCTTTATTGAATGGACTATGAAGATGAAAGTCACCATTTAAGCATTAAATGATGTGTGACACTGATTATTTATTTAATCCATGTTTACAAACAGTCACTATTACTTAACTTGAAGAGCCTTTCCAGCAATCATAGACAAGTTAATGTGTATTATTTATTTAAGCCATGTTTACAGTCACTTTTACCTAACTTGAAGAAAAGCCTTCACAGCAATCATAGACAAAGTAAAGGTGTATTAATGGGTTCGTTTTTGTTGTGTGCCTTTTAGACTGGATTACAACCCCAAATCAGAAAAAGTTGGGACGGTATGGAAAGTGCAAAAAAAGAAAGCAGTGATTTCTAAAATTTACTTTGACTTTATTTCATTGCAGGCTGTATGAACACAAGATGTTTCATGTTTTGTATTGTCAACTTCATGTCATTTGTAAATATACATCCATTCCTACCATTCAGGCTTGTAACACATTCCAAAAATAAGTTGAGACGAGTAGTTTAGGGCTAGTTATGAGTTAAAATACTTAAATAATGATGTGATTTGAAACAGGTGATGCCAATGGGTGATTGTAATTATGATGTGGTACAAAAGCAGCCTAGGCCTTAAGGAGCAAAGATGGGCTGATGATGGGCAACAAATGTGAGAAAATTATTGAAATTTTTAAAAACAATGTTCCTCAAAGAAAGATAGAGAAGGATTTGGATATTTCACTCTATGCATAACATAATCAAAAGATTTAGAGGAATTTCATTGCATAAAAGACAAGGGTGCAAGCCTAAGCTGAATAACCGTGCTCTTCGATCCTTCAGACGGTGCTGCATCAAGAACCATCATTCCTCTTTAAGCAGTATAACCACATGAGCTCAGGATTGTTTTGGTAAACTTTTGTCAAGCACTACAATACGTAGTTACATCCACAAATTCCAGTTAAAACTTTACTGTGCCAAAAGAAAGCCTTATGTTAACGGTGTCCAGAAGTACCCTTGACTTCCCTGTGCTCGGAGGCGTCTGGGATGGACCGTCACACAGTGGAAATTTGTATTGTGGTCAGACAAATGAGTATTTCAGGAAGTTTTTGGAAGAAATGGACACTGTATGTTACCAGCAACAGGTCCAAAAGCCACGACCTGTCATGGTATGGGATTATGTCATTCCCTTGGCAAAGGTAACTTACACTTCTGCGGTGGCACCATTAATGCTGAAAGGCACATAGAGATTTTGAAGCAACATATGCTGCCTTCAAGACGACATCCTGTTCAGGGACGCCCATGTGTATTTCAGCAAGACAATGCAAAACCACATTCTGCACACATTACATAGGCATGGCTGCGGAAGAAGAGAGTGCCGGTGCTGGACTGGTCTGCCTGCAGTCCTGACCTTTCCCCAGTAGAGAATGTGTGGCTCATTTTAAAACGCAAAATGCAACAAGGAGGCACACTTTAAAACTAAAAACGAAGAATGGGACAAAATTACACCTGAAATGCTTCATCGCTTGGTGTCTTCAGTCCCTAAACATCTTTTAAGTGTTGTGAAAAGGAATGGCAACATTACAAAGTTATACATTCTTTACTGTCTCAACTTTTTTTTTAAATATGTAGCAAGAATCAAAATTAAAATAAGTGTATATTTTGAAAAAAAAACCTTTAAATTGAATTAATTACAATTTTATTCAAATAATGTATTGCATTGTTTTCAATGCAGTAGATGTCACTTTACAAATCACTGTTTTCAGTTTTTATTTTAACATACTGTCCCAACTTTTTCTGATTTGGGGTATTTCATTAGGCTAATCTGTTGTTTATGTATAGCCTACTAGATATGTTCAGTAGCAGCTCATCTAATTCTGAGAACCTACAGACGATCAGTGTGACTGTAGTCTTTGTGCATGATCATTTTACATTGTGTTGGAAGATAGTAAGGTGAGAGTCTAAGTATCAGTGCTCATGTTGTCTGCTTTTAATCTGTGTCTCAGATGCTGGAGATGGTTGCTTTTTCACCCAGGACAGCTTACCTGAAGTGTGACTAAATTTAGATCATGAAAAAAAGCGAAACAAAACAACATGTACCTCATGTGGTGTTACAGTTTAATAGCCTTAGCGACCTCCACCTACAGTCAGTGTAAAACCCAATTCCAGAGAAGTTGAAACAGAATGTGAAATTCCAGTAAAAACAGAAAGTAGTGGTTAGTAAATTATGTTTGATCTTTATTAAATAAAACATAAAACATAATATTTTATGTATCACCTTATGGACTTTGTAAACATATGCTCATTCTAAATTAGGTGCCTGCAACATGTTCCAAAAAAGTTAGATAACATTAACTTTTCATTTTAACAGTACTGAAGTGCTGAAAGGACTTGGCTGTTCATTGTGGTTTTCAGCCTTGTCCATTACACACAGATATTCCCTGAAGCTTTTCATTATATTATGCACTGAAGAGGGTGAAATACCTAAAATTCTTCAATTCCTGTTTGAGGAATGTTATTTTTTAAGGTGTTGGATTTTTTGCTGATACAGCTTTTGCAAAGTGGTATGCCTTGACCCATCCTTGCTCATAAAAGTCAAGGTCTTTTCTTGGCTGCTCCTTTCACATCCAGGTGTGATTGCATCACCTGTTTAAGATGTTTTTCGAACATTTCACAATTTTTTTAGTCTTAAATTGCCCTGTCCCAACCTTTTTGGAACATGTTGCAGGCATCGATTTCAGTATATATGTACAAAAACAATTAAGTTAATGAGATAAACATCTTTTCTTTGCATTATTTTTGTTTTCAGATACAATGGAGATTTATAAATCACTGCTATCTGTTTTTACTGTCTGTTGATGATTAAGGCTAACAATACTAGGCAAGCTGTTTAGCTCAAGCCCTGTTGGCTGCCTAGCATTTGTTATGTAAGTGTCTGTGGTGCAGATATGTGTATTAAAAAAATCCTGTACTGTCTAGTGAAAGTCCAAATTTTACCAGCTGTGTCCTGTCATTAAACAGTTTTTTTTCTATCATATTAATACCATTGTTACTGCTACTGCTACTACTAATAATAACAATAATAATAATAATAATGATAACTATTATTAAGCTATGCCTACTATGCCGAGTATGTAGACAGCCATGCAGAATAAACTTTGTACACTGTAGTAAAAATAGGTTTCCTTTCATAGTAGATAAAAGATGCTTTCACTTAAATTATTGACATCACCTTGCATCACAGATAATATTAAATCTTTTGAATCTACACGAACTATGATCTCCTTGAAAATCTGAAAGGAAACCCAGTAGTTTGACAATAGTAAATATAATTATAGTAATAAGGGCAAAATATTTTATTATATACATGATCATATATGTTAAAGTTTTTTATTTCTTTTGATTCTTATCTTCTGCAGTAATCCAAAACTGGATTCAGAAGGAGATGAAAGGTACATTTTCTACTCTTGCAACATAACACACATTGAGGAAACATTCTTTTGATCGTGATTAGGTGCTGTTTTTGGAGAGACTTCAGTTTCATTTGATATAAATTACTGCTGTCCTTTAACTTAATGCAAAACTCCTGGGTGAATGGATGTGCTTGGTCTTGCATGCCTGTGTTTGTGCTTGTGTGTATATTTCATGGTGTGTGCACTGCAGCACCTTTCCCCACGATGGGTTGCAGTGGGCTGTTGTTAATCCTCACGCCATGATTGGCTCTGCTGAGCTCCGTAATAACAGGGCTAAGCCCATAACCCATCCCCACTCACCCTGTGTGTGCTCAGCTGCAGTCAGGCTCACCGCAGTCTACAAACTCATTCACATTGCTTACCCTATCAATAGTCCTCTTGCTGTAATAACATAATAGAGTATTTTTTAAAAGCTTGGTTGGTTATCTTCCGCTAGTGAGGCTAAATTGTATGATAAGCCATTTCCCTTTTGCCCTTTCCAGCCTACGTTGATTCATTAATATAAAGTGTAACTACATCAGGTTTGTTTATTGGGGACATGACTGTACTCATACCCATTTAAACGGTGCTGTGTTTTTTTGTGAAAACACTGTCATCATCAGAGTGCCCTAAAAACCATAAGAAGTCTGAAGCGCTACCAAAGAGTCATTGGAAGAATCCATCGATGCTTAAGAGCTTCGTTCTTTGCTATTTATTATGGCCTCCCTGACCTCAGGCTGACACTGTGGTCATTTTTTCTCACAGTGTGTGTGTATTCTCTGCCTTTCTCACATTTGCCCTGTGTGTGTACTTCCTATGTTACACGAGGCTTGAATGGCAGCCAAGGACAGACAGCTCTTGTTACTGTTGGCTGCCTTCTAGCTGTCAGAAAGCTTGAAGCTCTAGGTACACTCTGAATGGGCATTTCTAGTCAAGTCAGGTTCTTTATTGTAAAAATGCACAGAGAAGTGAGTTTTGTGTTGAGTTCGTCTTAGTACAAATGAAAATATAAATAGTGCAAAATGCAGACAGCACTAATATAATGATGTGCAAGGTGTATAAATTCCCCCGAAGTGTAGTATTTGTATGTTTGAGGGGACTGGTGATGAGTTTGTAATTTGATGACAGTCAAAACGTCAATGTCACAATAGGCTGTGATTGTTGAACAGATTTAGGGCTGCCTTGAGGTAAAAAACTGTCACAAAATAGGCCCTGCGAAATGGACCTAATCTTAGTCACTAACCTAAACAAAACTCCTAAACCTCACCCAGTTCCTTTCCTTCACCACAGTGATTTCAACATAACTGCTGACTGCAAATATTTACATTTTCACCAAGTATCGGAATCCAGCAAACTTCCCTCATCTTAGCCTGACTTACCTCTTAGGTGAAACAATTGCATGTAATGGTGTGTGTGTGTGTGTGTGTGTTTGTGTGTGTGCGCACTCTTTTTCAGCCCAGATGCAGCTGGTGATGATGAAATCAGGTATGTGTACACACTTATCCTCCAGATAAACACACACAAACATGAGTGAGGCTCCCATGTTTTAATAAGACATGATTTTGTTTATATAATTTCTGATTATCAACAGAACAACATTATGATGCTCTCCTAGCTATGCTGTACTGTATAACCGTCTGTACTTTAAGTTCTTAAATGCAGAATGCCACGTTTATATAACAACGGTGGATCAGCGGAAAGTTCAGTCAAGAGTTCAGTTTTCCCAGCTTTTGCCGTTGACCGTGTTTTGATGTTGATTATTTTGAGAGCCATAGACACTGAACATATTATTGTTGACATTTGTGCTCACCCAGTATTAGTACCGCAAAATAAGAGTACAGAGCATCCTCCTGCCTTATTCTTTCTTAAATAAATAATGGACACCGCTAAAGCCCTCCTCAGATAACCATCCATTTTTGCCAGCCATCACCACCATGACCATTTCCATAGCTACGTTCCTCGTTCACATGCTACTGTGAGGCATAGTAGACACAGCATAAGATCTGCCAGCGAATCCAGGCCTCAATTCCTCACTCATATAATGTATTGCTATAATTTAAGAATAAGTTTGCATTATGGGATAAATGGAACTGTATGGTTCTGATTCAGGGTTATCTGACCTTACACCTTAAACAAACATTACTGTAATATAACTGCCATTGCAATTATTTGCAGGCTGACAATGACAAAGTACAGAATATCCTCTCTGTCTTCCAACAGGAAGAGAGGAGCTGTAGCGTATGCTTCCCAGAAACCTTGGCTTCTTAATGCGTCTGTTGTAGAAAACATTACCTTTGAGATGCCTCTGATCAAACAAAGGTAAGACCTAACACTTTACATTCATCTCTGTAATACAAGTGAATATGTTCACATTTGTCCATTTCCTGCTGTACCTGTTCTCTGCCAGAAGCTTGGACTGTCATGTCCCTCTATAGATTTCTATCTACAGGTTCTATCTGTCAGGTTCATTCTGTGATTACCAGCATTTTCAGACACGATCTGTTATTGTCATAATGACATCATTAGCGTGTTTAAGAGTGCTCCTGATGGTACTGTGTTTTTCTTTATGGACTCTAGCTGCTGGCTCTCTCTCAACAAAGAACTGAAATGATGCACCATATGCTGCCTATTTTTTTCCGTGACCGTTGGCAGCAGGTTCTTTTTTATCAGTCCTCCAAATGGCTTCTCTGACAGATCCATTGACATTTATTGTGGTACTGGAGCTAGACTACATGCCCTAATGGACTGTCTTTCAGAAGACATTAGGCAGCTTCTGGCCAACTGTTGCTGTGGTGAGGGTAGAAATAAATGGCCAGTGTTTACACTGCCCTTCCCTCTCAGTCTACATTTCCTGCTCTTGCCTCTCTCTGTCTCTCGCTCAGACATGTGGGCCTAGAAAGATGCACAGAATCCTTTAAGATTCACACATGATTGTGTAAAAAAAGCAAAACCATACATTCTATACAAAACTATACATTCAGTTGTGATGAGCAGAACACACCGCAGAAACAAAGCTCAGTAATTTGCCTCTCATTGTTAAATATAGCATAATTTCTGATCTAAATTCCTTTGTTTATCTTGTATTTTGCCACCACGAGTCTTTGCATATTTCTGACAGAGTCAGATTTCTGACCTGACATACCAGATTAGTAAGTTGCAATATTTAATGCTGGGACTAACATTTCATACAAATCATTGTGGAGAATGAGAGTGTGCTGGAAGAAATAACCTTCAAAAACATTCAGCATGATTGAGCAGCATGGTATGTGTGTCCTGACTGTGTACAGGTATAAGACAGTGATCGAGGCGTGCTCTCTGCAGCCAGACATCGACATACTACCACAGGGCGACCAGACAGAGATCGGCGAAAGGGTCAGTCTGCTGTCGATCACACCAATCACATCATTTTATGTTATGTTACAATTATATTAGATACAAAGCATTTCTTTTAAAACTTTTCTAATAAAAAAGCAGATTTACTCATGTAAGAATTTGACAATTTTGTGTAGCAGAAAAGATACAGTTCTACATCCACCCTAAGAAGAGCTCATTAACAGAAAGTATGATAAACACACATCTGAGCCTTTGCCAAGTATCAGCTGTTTGAGGAATTTTTCTTAGTGTGTGTGTCAACACGTGTACCAGCTCTTTTATTAAGTACATCCACCCTCTTTGTCCGTTTTTACAAATCCAACATATAGGTGCACTTTTTAGTTCTACGATTACACAACAGTGCTACTGGAGTTTTGGAACACTGTGTCCACTCACTGTCCACTCTACTAGACACACCTACCTAGTTGGTCCACCTTGTAGATGTAAAGTCAGAGACAGTAGCTCATCTGCTGTGTCTCATCCACTCATACCAGTGCAACACACACTAACACGCCACCGCCACATCAGTGTCACTGCAGTGTGACCATCCAAATAATAACTGCTCTGTGGTGGTCCTGTGAGGATCCTGAACATTAAAGAACAGGCTGAAAGAGGGCTAACAAATTATGAAGAGAAACAGAGGGACTACATATGGTAAGTGCACCGGATAAAAATGGACAAAGAGTGTAGGCTCCTGAGGTTTACTGATCATTTGTAGTTTGTGATAAATCATCTGAAGGTTTTTACAGGCTCCTCCTTTTGAAAGACAGCTGTATATGCCCCAGCTGGCCACGAAACAGCTGAGCAGCCAACTGTCCATTTATATTTGATCTTCTAAAAAGGAGGACTGTGCGTAAAAAGTGCTGTGATTCCTATTGATGTGCATTGCCTGAAATGACATGAAGGAGATTCTGCCCTTAACTTCCACATGTAATCCAGTGTGCTGGAGTACAGACTAAAATAACAAATTGCGTCACTGTCCAGTTAATTGCAGACCACCCTGTATTTACCTGACATTTATTGATGGTGATGCTCTCTCTCTTTCTCTCTCTCTCTCCCTCCCTCCTCTGAAAAGAGCACATGTGTTGCTGTTATCTAACTCAGGCCCTCTTAGGAAGTACTTAGAGTTGTCACAAGCACAAGCCTTGCAGCTTGTGTAAAGATTTGTACAAACCAAAACCAACACAGTTAACCTGCCGCATATTTACTTACCTTGATCTATGCAAAGTAATGTTGTACAGACATTTCTGTTTATTTCTGTTTATTTCTCACATGACCACTTTTTAACCAAAATGAAAGACAGATACAATATGCTTATGTCAAAGAAAAATCACAGTTAAAAAAAAGGTGGATTTCTCTAGCATTATGAAGCATCTGCATTCTTTCTCTGTTTCTCTCTTTCCCTCTCTCCTCCAACTTCTCCTTCTCTCTCTCTTTCTCTCTCTCTCTCTCTCTTTCCCTCTCATGTTCTATTCTCTCTCTCTCTCTCTCTCTCTCTCCCTCTCTATCAGTGAATGTGCTTTGTTAGCAGTATGGTAACCTGTCTGATGAGCTCCTCTTCTTACTCCACAGGGAATCATCCTCTCAGGAGGCCAGAAACAGCGCATCAGTGTAGCTCGCGCTCTCTATCAGACCACCAATGTGGTTTTTCTGGTGAGTTTAAACACTCTCTAGCACACCTTCTGGGAGTGTCAGAGTCAGTCCACTCCTTTCTGTATACACAACACTGAGTTTAGATTCTGCCACACTTTAATTTTCTGCTCGGGCATGTTAACTTTCAGTGCCTGAGGCCATGGTTCTGCCCTATTTATTATTGAATATAGTGCTTGCTATATCGTCAGTTAATTATTGTGTCACACTGTTGTAGGAAGGCCCTTTGACTCCTTGTATTGTTTTACATCATTTTGAAAATTATATTGAGAAGGACAAGTATTCATTGCCTATGGAAATTTAATTCAAAGCTATTTTCAGCTCTGCGCAGGTGGCACAGTACAGAGCAGACAATCAGAACACAAACATTTGTATATGAGAATTTAGATAAATAGAGCTGTTTTGGAACAGTGTACTCCAGTAAGGCAAGACAAAAATAACTCATTGGCAAAAATTCAGCTCATCATGTTTGGAGTAAGGAGGGTTATGCTTCTGATCCTAAGAACATCACACACAAAAGTATAAATACCTCATGTAAATAATACGTTTTGTTGATTTTCTATGTGAAAATATGTTAACACATTCTCTACAGGAAACAAACTCAAAAATGCAAATTTTAGTGCACAATTTCTATTTGTTTGCAGAGTTTAACGTACTAGAAAAAAAGACAAAATGTGTCATGTTTGCATAAGCCATATTTTATGATTTTTCTCCCAATATGTTAAATTCAGCAAATCAACAGTAATTGTGCATTAAAACATGCCGAAGTGTGTTGTGTGTAGAGGATGTGTCCTTATCTGAACTGCTCAAACTTTGGCATACAACTGTAGATGGGAGCATCATGATATGCGGCTGCTTCTCTGCAACCAGTACTGGGGCATCACACATCACCGAAAGAAATATAATTAGGATAATGAACCTGGAAATTTTAGAGGAGAATTTCATCTCATCTTGTTTGAAACTGCTGGAAGATCTTCGATGTGCCCCAAATGTAGTGATTTTTAAATTCAGGTTATTAACATTTCTTATTTCATGTACTTGCTCCAAAACTTGCTCTTTATTCTTACTGCATTTTCACTTTTAATAAGCTAAGTTTAATAACGCTTAAGTCATTTGCCTTTAATTTTTTATGTTGTTTAGTTTGCTTTTTTGTACTTTGTACTTTATTGTAATTATCAGTCTTTTGCACTTTGTATCTTTTTAGCACTTTATTTTTTATTTTTATTGTTTTATCTTAAGCACTTTGTCTGTATTTTTCTTTTTGGTGTTCCTTTTGCTTTTATTTATGTAAAGCACATTGAATTTCCTTTGTGTATGAAATATGCAATATGAATAAGCTTGCCTTGCCTTGTCAAAGAAACAGGAGAAGATCTCCTGGCTTGAATCCCATTAAACATTTGTGGAGGATTTGAAATTGTGAGTCCAGCAATAACCTTGGGGAATTGAAAACAGTTTGTCAAGAGGAACGAGCCAAAATTGAACCACAGTGCTGCAGGAAGCTAATCTCTTACCGTAAATGCCTCAAAGTCTTAATCCTCAAAAACAACTTTGCAACAATCTCATATCAGTTTCATTTTTTTAAACCTAACTGTGTTTATCCTTTATGAATAATTTTTTTTTAATTTATGACCATCAAAAGACATTGACCAATATTCATCAGAGTTGTGTAACAAAACACTTTTAATGATGAATTGCTCTGCATCAGATTCATTGAACTTTTCTATGACATGGAAATGAGTGGCGATTTGAACCCAAATGATGAATCAGCTTCATTGCGTGAAAACAAGCAGCAACCTAACCTTCCAGTACCTCATTTACAGGAAGCACGCCCTAATCCATGCAGATTTTTTGGTAGGGAGCCAATAAAACGATAGCATTCAGTGGCTCATGAGCCAATTGCTGTGCTCGTAGGTGGAGCTTGTGGTCGAATAGAGAGAGCACTGCTTCTGACCAAACTGTATAGTGTTATATTTACTACGACTGGAAAGAATATAATGTGAAATAAATAAAACCTCTTAGTTGTGTGAAGGTGGTAGAATGATGTGATTGTATAGTGTGATTATTTTCCTGAAATGAAATATTTAGACGGCAGTAAATTTGAAATGTAATCAACAGAGATGGAGAAAGATAATTAGTGCGTCTCCTGTTTATATTATTTGAAAGCTTTTACACTTTTGGGCCATATACTACTGTAGACTGTTATGGAGCTTTCTGGTTGTTTTGCAGGACGACCCATTCTCGGCGCTGGATATCCACCTGAGTGACCACCTAATGCAGGAGGGCATTCTGAAGCTCCTCAGAGAGGAGAAGAGAACTGTGGTGCTGGTCACACATAAACTGCAATACCTTCCCCATGCAGACTGGGTAAAACACACACACCAACACAGATGCATGCAGGCAAACAGTAACTTTTGCCCAGGAGCTTCTTAAGCTTCTAAAATTGTGTTTTTCATTTGTTTCTTTTATTTCCTCTAATTGTTTTTCTTCTCGACTTGCATCCTACCGTTCCTACCGTTCATTTAATACAGTGCCCTGGGTGATAGATTGAAGCGAAGACGCTCCTGCTCACTTTGGCAGTGACTGACATAATGAATGGGTTGCTCACATATTCATCTCCCTCCTACCGTCCAGTGATGGATGGCACTGTTCCAGGAGAGCATTATTTACCTCTCTGGGCTGATGTCTATTACTCAGCTCTTAATTTGACACAACAGGCACCCGTTCTGTTCTTAAAGCCATCTTCATCAATTGCATGTCCTTATTTTCCTGAGAGATGCCATCTGTCTGTTGTCATATATGGAATGTGAGAACTGTGTTATTGGGAACAGAGGGATGTGCTAATGGTTTGGATGTCTGCTTGGGCTGTCTGTAGATCATCGCGATGAAGGATGGAACAATACAGACAGAGGGTACATTGAAAGACATCCAGAACTCTGAGCCAGAGCTGTTTGAGCAATGGAAAACCCTCATGAATCGGCAGGACCAGGAGTTTGAGAAGGTACAACCCACAGAGGGAGCAAGTGCACTATCCTAGACTAGATCAGTATGTGATTCATGATACAAGAGCTTATTATATAGCTAATACAATTATATAGCTATTATATATAAACAGCTAAAAAATGTAGAACAATTTATTGGGGAAGTAAATGTGTTTTTGCTTGTGAATTAGAATTAATAAAAAAAAGTATTAATACATTAAATGCATTAAAAAAACTTGATATCTTGTGAGATGGTTATTTTTTCTACCCCAAGCACACCTAATTGAACCTAAGAAAGTATAAGCTGCCTCAGTCAGGGTCTTGAAAAACTGGTTATGCTAACACATTAACATACATAACATTTAAATAATTGTATCAGTGTTTATTCATATTTATTATACTGTTCTGATTCTAATTCTCAGTGCCCAGATAAATATCTTTAGGTATAACCTTCTGAAGTGGTCAGACTTTTACACAGTAATGTACATGTCTTGAACTAAAAAGTGAGTGCCTTTATTTTATTTGAGAATAAGCCTGCCTGTGGGCTTGGGTTTGTGTTGTAGGAGACTGTTGCAGAAAGCATGACTGTACTGGAGAGGAAGAACTTGAGGAGAGCCATGTACTCCAGAGAGGCACTGAAGACCGAGGAAGAGGAGGAGGGTAAGAAGAAGCATAGCATACTTGCTGCTTACACCTGTTTCACTTGTGAAGATTTGTCTCTGTCTCTTCCATATCACTGTGTTGGCCTTTTCTGTTTGGAGACATGATGTACCATGTGCTCTGTAGTGTGGTGTCAGGCTGCATTTGAAGAGGGCTGGAGCTTTATGCAATGAAACATGCTTAGTTCATATGATCTGAGATGGCGATGTGCTTTGATGTCCTTATGTCTGTTTGTGCAAAGGCGTCCGCTTTACCTAACAGCCTATTCTAGGTTGACCTTGACACCTGCCTCCATATCCTCTGTTCTGAACCTGCCGTACTCAGTGTTGTGTTTCTGTCCTTTGGCAACACATTGATCAGTGTGTCCCTCTTCTAGAACAGGGTTGGCAGCTCCTTCACGACTGCTGGATGGCTGGCAGTCAGCCCTACTATATTACCTTCCAATAGCCACATTGTGCCAAAAGATAGTATTTGAAAAAAGCCAGAGCAACCTTTCGCAGCGTTGTTGCAGCCTTCATCTTTCAGCCCAGCTCATTTTTATTCAGTCCACACAAACACAGAGCCATTTTTCTCAAAACACTATCAGTTAGTCCTTAACTTTTTAATTCTGAGACCAAAAGGGGCCCTTTTTTGACTTATTATCTACTCTTGTTCTTTTAATAACACTTTTCTTTCTCCATGCTCTTCTTGCGTGTGTTTTGATATGCAGAAAACATGATCTTGTCACAAACAAATAATTTAAATGTGACTTAAATGTGATGATCTTGTTGGTGTGATAGTTGCACAGCAGCTCCTGTGGCATATTTATAGTAAAACATTTGATTTTATCAAAGTAAACACATCTGTTATCAAGTCTTAAACCAGCTGTGGAACTGTTTTCTGGTACTTGGGAAAGAAAGAGAGAAAAAAAGCTAATATTGCTGCCAGAATCTCTTCTTTAGCAGATTCAATAGTCCTGTGGAAAGTGATGGAGTTTGTTACACTCTGCAGCATAGTTGTTGTAGATGGCTAGCATGAATTTATGATGCATTTGAAATGATGATTTCGTTTATTGAAGGAAAAATGCTGTTCAGCCCTACCTGGGCCTATGTGAAAAAGTAATTGCCCCCTTGGCTACTAAATCAACCAGTTAAACAAATTCAACATGGTGGTGGTAGCGTCTTGCAAGTTATCGCAAATGTTTAGTTGTAGTTGTTGCTGCCAAGGATGGCACACCAAGTTATTAGGTTGGGGAGGGGGGGGGCAATTACTTTTTCACATGGATGATATAGGTTTTGAATAAATCTTTGTCTTCAGTAAATGGAATGATCATTTAAAATCTGCGTTTTGTGTGTACTCGTGTTGTCTTCATCTTATTTTAAAATTAATGGATGATTAATTGATAATTGGATGATCTGAAACATTAAAATGTGACAAATTAGCAAAAATAGAAGAAATTGGGTGAGGGGCAAATAATTTTTCACAGCACTGTATCTGTTTTATAGTTAAAATGAGTGTCTGTGTGGCGGGGGTCTGATGCCCCCCCACCCCTACTCCTCTTTATTGTTGTATAATTTACACTCTGGTTTCTGTTTTTCACGGCAAAACAATGCAGTAAATAGTTGTGTAAATCTACACTGTTCAGCCCTGCACTAGACGATAAAGTGGCCTCTTCAGTACCTGTCAGGCCACTTATAATTGACGCCAGTGTCCTCTTATGTGCTGTTGTTCTGTGAGATGTTAATATGGAGTGTTATCAGGCTGTGTTCTCTGTCTCTGTCTGATGAATGTGGGTGGCCCTGTGTGGACTCTGTCACTACAGCAATGGGGACTGCACTCACTCCTGAAGCAGGTGTGGGTTAAAGTGCATGTTTTTGTCCACTCTGCTTTTGCCTTGTAGTGCTGTGTGCTGTGCCTCTGCCCTTGGCTGCATGGCTCCATTCATGCAGAAATGCTGCTGCTTTACACTGTCCTTTGAGAATACATCCAGCATGTGTATTAAATGCTACCTGCCTTTGTGGGGTCTCTTTCTCACTCTCTGCGTTTCTCTAACTTCATCTCTTACTCTCTCTTCCTCTCTCCTTCTCTCCTTCTCTCCCAGTCCTCCCAGCATGTCCTCTTAGGGCACACCCACCAATGCACTTAAAAAGACTGCATGAGGCTGTGTTATAATTTTAGAATAGAGAGTGGGTGGAAGAGCTTAGCATTCATAGTCTGGGTAAGCCCACCTACCACAGAGACATGAGTAAACATTAGACAGAAAGCATAGAAACACTATATACTTGCTTTCACTACTTCTCTCTCTCTTTAAGTGATAATTTTCCCCTCACCCCAGTTATAGTCACTGAAGACGTTCTTCTTAAGTTCTGTAGATCTATCAGGCCAGTGTAACAAACCATAAATGTTTAGATTTGACCAATATTTCAGACTGATGTATGATGACGTGTTTGTTGTACCACCGAAGGGCAGAATATCAATGTTCCCATATTCAGGTTACACTTTGGCGGTGTATGGTAACCCGCCAAAGTATATTTTAACGCAGTTTTTAAAGATGTTTATCATGTTTTTCTTATTCTGTTTCAAAAAATGATTCGCCTTTACTCCAACTTGGCTGCTATATGAACATAACTCGGGTCGGGGGGGAGAGCAATAGAAAAGAAACCGGGAGATTGATGAAAAAAAAAATAAACGAGGAAAAGAAAGAGCCGAGCCATGCTAACTGTTAGCTAGTTGCCACTGGTGAATACCAACATTGTCCTCATTTGATTTAGCACATTTAACAGTCATTGGGCTTGCATGAACTTAGCTAAATACAGTCAGAAGAAATGACTATATTAGTGAAGTGAATGTTAGTAATTTTCAGCAAAATCAGTCTCTCCCCACCTGTTTTTCCTGGCCTTCTTCTGCCTTAGTGTCATTCTTTCTTTTTCTTCAGGTGTGTTTCTGTCTCTCTCATATGCCTCCTACCCCTCTCTCTTTCTCTCTCTCTCCTTCTCTTTCTTTCTCCTGCTCCTCATTCTTCATTCTACATGAGTAGCCTGACAGCTCTAGGCACACATACATCTCTCCGAGAGGCCCTTTTTAGCTCCCTCTCTTCTGTCAAGCTCTGTCCATTCTCTGCCATGCTAGTACATTCACCAGGAGGCTAGGTTTAGGCTTTATGCTGCTTGTGGCAGAGCAGTAAAGTGTCAGAGGCTGGATAATGTGACCTCCAGAATTATTGGCCCCCCTGAAACCCTTGGCAAATATGAGAAAATATGAAGTATTTGTTTTTTCTTTTACAGATTTTGCTGCACTGAAAGGTTAGATTTTGCTCATATTTTCATTGCAAGACCATAAACAAGATGGTAAACAACAAAAACAGCTTTTCTCTTGCCTTTATGTTTATGAGGGGTGCCTGTAATTCTAGAGTGTATCTACATGTTTAGACTAGTGTGAGTGGTGCCGTGTAAGAGATGAAGAAAAGTGAAAAGAATACTGTGTTATTTCATAACACGCAATCAAATTGAAGTAAAAAGTGACAGAATCTAACAGTTATCATAGGGAAAACTGTGATTTTCAGTGCTAATACAGATGACTGCTTGTAGGTACTGTTTGTAATAAAGCTTGCTTGCCATTGCTTAATATTATGTCAGCCAAAGTGGTTGATAGTGTTATGCATCATTTGCAGAAAATGTTTTTTTCTGTGTTGTTCCATCCATAATCGTAGTAGTAGCAGTAGAAGTAGCAGTAGCTAATAAACAGGCAGTCACATCACGGAAGCAAAGCAGGCATGAGGCAATCTCCAATCAGAGCGTCCCTCACCTGGCGTCGCTGTGTGTACCTGTAGAAGAGTCGGTGGAGAGTGATGATGAGGACAACCTGTCGCAGGTGATGAGGCATAGAGCCACCATTCCATGGGGATCATGTGGGAAATACCTGACCTCAGCCGGCCTGCTACTGCTGCCGCTGCTGGTGCTCTCCCAGCTGCTCAAACACTCGCTCATGGTGGCTATTGACGTGTGGCTCGCACACTGGACCTCTGACGTCATCCGTGCCAAGATCCACGCTGACCAACACAACTGCACATTGGTTCAGGTAAGCACTGCGAACAAATGAGGTTGTCTATTGCCACTATGATATTCTATCAACATTTGTGTGTTTCTCTAGTTATTAGAGCTGTAGTGAACACTGCAACACCACAACACCAAAATAGTAAAATATCGACTGTGAACGTCACCAAGACGTATTACCTTTTGTCCCGTGACTGCATAGATAAGGGAAATCATGTGGTAATGGTAGTGGTAACAAAGTGAAGTTTTAGGGGTAACATTTTTTGCCCATTTGCCAGCCTGTTGAAAATTCACCATCGCAACAGCACTGCAACAGATTTTCCATTATTTAGCAGCTCATTATTTTTTTATTCATTATTTATCAGCTTATGTTAACAAGTGGAATGAAGAAATTCTGTTGAAACTGCATGTTCTAACTTTTAGTTGATACCGCATTAGGCTTGTGAGACTGTGTGTTTTATAGCATCATTCAATTTCCCTCTCTAACCATTGTCGACTGACGGTAGTACTGTGGGGCGGTACAGAAGAAGGGGCACTTATTGGGCATGGTGATAGGAAAATGAGAGCACTGCTATAGAATAGAAGGAGACTGGAAACTGTAGATAAAGAATATAAACTAAATGCAAAGGAAATGTATGACATAATTACTTCAGTTACACAATGGTCCTTAAATAGTATAGCATTAGATGAAACTAATTAATACATCTAAATTTTTATTTTATTAACTTGTACAGGATGAAATATTCATAAGAAAAAGTGTATTCTGTTCTATTCTATTGAGATGCTATGGTTTGAGAGAACTTGGTCACTGAGTATGCTGTTACGTGTGCTGAAAGATTCTTCTTGGCATTGAAGATGTGTACATGCTACACTTGTACTGATCAAGTATCTACAAAAATATAATACTCAACCACACATTGACACATTGGACTGTCATAATATCTGCACTCAGCATTGTCATCATTACAGTGCCAGTTATGACAGCTTTTGCATGTATATGTCATACCAGCTTCATAATTTAAGTACACAAGTTCTGACTCTTAAATTTAAAGGGCACTTCTTGTGCACATTTTAAAATTGAGCATTCTCATTTGAATGTTATAAATACATTTTAAGAAGTTGGGACAGGGGAAACAAAAGACTGGTAAAGTAATGCTAAAAAAAAACACCTGGTGGAACATCTCACAACTAATTATGTTAACTGGTAACAGGTCAGTAACATGATTGGGTATAAAAAGAGCACCCCAGAGAGGCTGTCTTTGAGAAATAAAGATGGGAAGAGCTTCACCACTCTGTGAAAGACTGCGTGGATAAATAGTACAACAATTCAAGAATAACGTTTCTCAACGTAAAATAGCAAAAGACTTTTCATAATCTATGTGACATAATATCGTTAAAAGATTCAGAGAGTCCAGAGAAATCTCTGTATGCAAGGGACAGGGCCGAAAACCAGTATTTGCTGGCCATGATCTTCAGTGGGGGCTGCATTAAAAACAGATGCGATTCTGTAGTGGAAATCACTTCATGGGCTCAGGAACCCTTCTGAAAACCAATGATTGTGAACACAGTTCATTGCTGCGTCCACAAGTTAAAACTCAGTACAAGTTAAAACTCTACAATGCAAAGAAGAAACAGTATATAAACAGGATCCAGAAATGTTGCCTTCTCTGGGCTCAAGCTCACGTAAGATGGAATGAGGCGAAGTGGAACGGCGTCGTGTGGTCCGACAAATCAACATTTAAAATTCTTTTTGGAAATCATCAAAACCGCATGCTCTGGGCTAAAGAGGAGAGGGACCATCTGTCTTGTTATCAGTGCGTAGTTTAAAAGTCACAATCCATGTAGGTAAAGGGGTGCACTAGTGCACATGGCGTGGGTGATTTTCACATCTGTGAAGGCACTGTTAATGCTGAATGACATATACAGGTTTTGTAGTAACATATGATGCCATTCATATGATGTCTTTTTCAGGGAAGGCCTTGCTTATTTCAGCAAGACAATGTCAGACCACATTCTGCACGTATTATAATAGCATGTCTGCATAGTAAAAGAGTCTGAGTGCTAAACTGTACTGCCTGCTTGATATGTTGTCTTAGTACAGTTTTCAATTAAATATAGGATTTGAATTATTTGCCATCGTTGCGTTGTTTTATTTATATTTTGCACATCGTCACAACCTTTTTGGAAATAGGGTTGTAATTCCTTTGTTGGTGGGGGATGTGACGACTGGCTGGTCCCATCCATTGGATGGAATAAGTCTGGGATTTTAAGGGGTTAAACAACTGCTGGAAGGTGTTTGATGCAAAAATTACATTATGATTTTTTTAATGATAGTGCATAGAAGATTTTTTTTAATGTAGTAAGTAAAAGTCAAAAGTTTAAAGTGGAAAAAACTACTTAAGTGCAGTAACTAAAAATATTGTGCTTCATTACTTCCCACCTCTACTTTATGCACACACACACACACACACACACACACACCCATACACAGTGTGTGAGAGGTGTCGTAATGACATTAAGGTCACAGCAGGTGTATGGGGTTATCTGAGTGACACACACTCAGACTTTATTAATAGACATGCCAGTATATCAGCTTTGCTGTGAGAGGAATAGCAGACTGATCACTCACAGTCACGCCTGCACCAGTGCACACTACAGCAGGACATGTAATACATAGAAACTCGAATGCCATAAAGTCTTTAAAATACAGTCTTGAAACAAAGTGAACACGTCACCCACTGAAGTGTTTTCAGCTCCATGAAGATTTTTAGCACTACTGTTCCTTGTGTGATCAACCACCTATAAAAACCCCAGTATTCTGCCTTATGCATCACTGTTCAGAGAAACTAGATAGAGATCAATGAATCGTATGAACTGGGCTAACCTGTAGTGACCTGCTCCTGCAATTCAGAGAACCATTTATTTTTATGTTATTTAGTATCCTAATTAATATTTAATCCACTGCCATTCCATTTATGCACTAAAAGGATTGTAAATTGCATTATGCTTGCTGAGTGGAATTTGCTGCTATGGTGAGAGAGATTGGAGTCTCTTTTAATTTGTCTGATGTTTTACTGCTGGTGATTTCCCATGGACATGCATTAGAGTTCCTAGGAGAACAGACACAGTCCTTTGGGTTATTACTCTATTGATTTGCTCTGCTTTTAGCATTTTTTGGGCATGGATAATTAACTGAGTTTTGAACACATTAGGTTAATGCTTTAGACTGTCGCTGGTGCTTTGCTTTCATCATAACCTTTTCCCTGCCTGTATTGCTAGTTCTAGTACTATTCATTTGGACCAGTGACACAGTATTTGAGTATCTTTCTGTTTTTGTCTTTGTCTTGCAGGACTGTGGTTTCAGTCACTCTTCATACCTGCTGGTCTTTAGTGTGCTCTGCTGTCTTGGCATCGTGCTTTGTCTGGTCACCTCCGTGGCTGTGGAGTGGACGGGGCTGCGCGTAGCTAAAGAGTTACACCACAGTCTGCTCAATAACATCATCCTCGCCCCCATGAGGTATGCACACCTGGGGCCTTATTAATGCTTTATTAAACATTTATTACCTTGATATTAAACAGACCTGTTTGTGGTGTGTATATGAGTATGCACTTTCCTGGGTGGTCGACCTTAAAAACGTTTACCGTTTTGCGTAGTCAGTCCCCAGTGAACTGTCTGCCTGTTGACTGATGTATCCCATCTGCTGGGTTGAAGACAGCAAACAGCATTTGTGCTTTCAGCACCATGGCAACATCATGGCTGCTCATGGTTAATGAGGGACACATTACACACTGTGTGGTCAGGTGACTAATGTTCTCTGAGTAGCTCACCCCTCATATGGACCAGTGTGATTAGACAATATCACACTATAAATAACAGATGTGTAATGAGGCAAAATATGGGTTTATAATGTGGTAAATGCTCCAAATAAACTGGGGATGAGAAAGCTCTATCTGCATATTACGCTTGAGTCTTCTGAGTGATGGTTTCCTCTTTGTTTGCCAGACTCTTTGAGACAACCCCTTTGGGAAGCATTCTGAACCGATTCTCTGCTGATACGAACACCATAGACCAGGTATGCTACTCATTCACCAGTAGTGAGAGACACTTGCTCACCATGTGGGTCCCGTATTACTTTATACCATATTACATAGTCATACCACAAGGAGGTTACTGTGATTATTTTGGTTTTAGTGAATGTTACATATACTTTTCTTCATGCCCTGGTGTTTTTTGCTTTCTAGTGGAAATAAAATGATAATTTTGCCATTTGTAACCAAAGGAGTTTTTCACAGTAATGGCACATTAATGGGATCAGTGACCCCATACGTTTAGTTTGATGACTGAGGCTGTCATTATTGTGTGACTGATGTTCTAAATTTGTCTGACTTTTCAGGAGGAGTTCAGTCTTAAAAAACTTAAAATGTCTTAGTTTCACTACTGCAAAAGCTCCAGGCTAAGTTGTTTATATTTTCAGATGCTGTCGTTACAAACATAGCTTGTCTGTTACTGTATTTTGACTTGGTCCAGATTCTTTTACTCACATGTACTGTTGTTGTGGTGTGAATACTGCAACCATCTTGCATTTTCTTGTGACCAGAAAACAAACACTTCCCTTTGTTAGTGCTAATTAGTAAGCCTGTCAGGATCATAACATTTTATCTGACAATTAGTTGGTAAATAAATAATTATGATTAACAGATTAATAGTATTTTTGTTCACTGTATGCAAATATTAAAATACAAGCCTAAAAAGGTCAAATTGGTTTGATCACATATTTTGCTTTGTAGATTCCCACTGATGACAGACATAGCTTGAGCTCAAATAAATGGACATTACTCACCCCTGCCCTCTAAACACCACCAATCAGCACCAATCAAAGTTACATAATTTCATTGTACAGAAATTGTGTAAGTTAGCACTTTTTGACCTGTCTCTACAAATAAACATTTTTATCATATATACACTTCGAAAACATGGAGTGATGCCAAGTTGATCAACAATTGTGATCAACTTGGCATTAAAATTTGAACATAGAAGATGCCACAAAAGTGACATTTACAAGAAAATTTTCAAGTTTTAAAGCGTATGATGCGTGCTGTCTATACATCAGTTGTAGCCACCAAGAATAAATTTGTGTTACACTGTTTAACCAAACCAACTACACTGTTTAACCAAACCATCCTTTAACCAAAATGGGGAATGACAAAGGAGATGCTGTTATTTCCCATGGAAATGTGATTCCATTTTAAATGTGAGACCAGGATTCGCTGTGGCGTTAAGGGTTTTAGAGCACCTTCTGCTACACTAATAGGTCTCAGTGCCCCACTCGCACCAACACTTTGCTGATCAAGCTAAACAAGGTAATGACACTGTGATTAATGGGTGTCCTCTCCCTTTGTGCCTTTTCTCTCTTTTCCTTCTCTCCTCTTCCCTCCCTCTTCTCTCTGTGTCCAGCACATACCTACTACTCTAGAGTGTTTGATACGCTCCACACTGCTGTGTGTGTCTGCGCTGGGTGTGATCTCATATGTCACACCTGTCTTCCTCATCGCTCTCGCTCCCCTCGCCATCGCCTGCTACTTCATCCAGAAATACTTCAGAGTGGCATCCAGGTATGCTATCTGCAGAAGCACTGCTTTTCACCAGAGACAGTCAGTGTATTTATAGACATGGTTAGAAATAGAAGCAGGCAAGCTAGAAAATAGAGCTTGTTTAGTCTGTTTAACCTCTTACACTTTGGGCCTATTATTCGCTTATTAATCTTAGGATGTATTATCTAGCAGCTACTATAAATTGATCTATACATCATTAACATGAAAGTTATGTAGTTATGAAATTGAGGAATAGAATTCTGGAGGTTAAAGGGTAATAATACTGGCACTCGTTAATAATTATATTAACAATAAGTTGAATTTGTATAGTGCCTTTCTCAAAGGACGCTTTACAAAAGTACCAAAATACATAATCAGCAATAAAAAACAACCCACAACAAACATGCAGGCGCACACACACACACACATACAGTTCCTCACCCGACCACGGTATAGAGTCACTTAGCTTGCCTAAAAAGAATCTTTTGGAAGGTCCCGTGGGAAGGGCCCTTTTAGCCCAGGAGGCCTCATGTCTGTGGTGTTGCATTGCGAAGGTGACTGCCTTGGGAAGCCTCTACACCCAGAAAGAGTCCTTAGCCAAGATGGGAGGTCCCTCTTAGCCCAGGCAGCCTTATACCTGCTGAGTAGCATTGCTCAAGCTGCTGGCTCAGACAGCCACATAACTGTGATGTAGCATCACTCCAGTGTAGGCAGCCTTGTAGCTGCGGTGTATCATATCAAACAGAGCTCCATGAGAATGAGAGTGCAAAACAAGGTGGTGTGATTGAGTTAAAAATTAAGTCGTTACAATTAGAACCCTAATGAGCCAGTCAAAACCAGTCTGGTGATTTCAGCAGCGTTGGTCACAAACACAGTGCACACTGGAAATAAGCAGCTTTTGGTTAGATATAATCTAATTCAGCTTTGGATAAATTGAATTGTCATTTTCATGCCAAAATTCTGAGGCTTATTTGACTGAAGCTTATTTGCCTATCGTCCTTTTATTCCACAAGATCTACAATCTCCAGTGGAATGGGATAAATTAAATTCAGTTCCTTCTTCTTTTGTTTTCTGTACTGCCAGATTCTGTCTCTTCTTTCTCCTTAGACCTCAGTCATGAGCTGTGTCTAGTGTGAAGATGGAATTGTTTTGTTTTTTCTTTCCCATCCACTTTTATCTCTACTAGCCTGTTTGTATAAAGGCCTGTTTAAGTGTAATCAGACATGCAACAATGGCACAGGCCTCTAGATAACCAGCTTCCTACCTTCCAACCTGTTCTACGTATTGTAATATGTTGTGTTGTTTTAGTCTGTATTTTAGCTTCTCAGTCACCCCTGCCATTATCTTTGAGGTTGCCATTTTCATGCGGTTAGAGCAGCTGTTTAAATAAGATGAGTGTGCTTGACAGAGAAAATCCCTGTTAATTACCATGTCCTCCTATTTCTGTGCCACTTCCCCATGCACAGAATTGCAGGAGCCTTTTGAATTGACTCTCATGGTTTTTGTGACGTATAGACCTATCAGCAATTATTTCCCTTTATTGACTCTTAATAATGTGAAATTAAAGCTTGATCATAGTGGATGAGAAATTGTTTTAAGATAAGCTCTTTGTGTATACTTGTTCAGAGATCTACAGCAGCTAGAGGACAGCACACAGCTCCCTTTACTCTCTCACTTCTCAGAGACAGTGGAGGGGCTCACCACCATCAGAGCTTTCAGGTGAGAGACCATTCTAGTCAGTAACGATAAATAGGTGTTCAGCTGAATAAAATCAAAATTATTGATAAACAGTGTCTAAACACTGATATGAGTCTCTCTTTAGCTGTGTTAATCTGCTGCTGTACTGAGTGTTTTTGTATGATGTAGGTATGAGGCCAGGTTTCGCCAGAGGCTTCTGGAGTTCACAGATGCTAATAACGTCGCATCTCTTTTCCTCACTGCTGCCAACCGCTGGCTGGAGGTTCGCATGGTAAGTTTGCCTTCTTACACATTATCAGCTTAGCTGATAAAATAAATAAAATACGTTGCATTAACACAGTTTTGTATTTCAGTTTGTTTACTTTTGGCAAAAATGTGATGTAGTATATTTATTCATTTGAAAATGATATACAGTGCCCTCCATAATATTTGAGACAAAGTAAAAAAATATTTTTATTTGCCTCTGTACTCTGCCATGTCAGTCACCTGATCTGAATCCCATTGCACATGCCTTTCATATGCTGAAGATAAAACATAAGAGAACTAGAAATAAGCAGGAGCTGAAGATGGTTGCAATACAAGGTTGGCAGAGCATCACCAGAGAGGATACTCAGCACCTGGTGATGTCTGTGAGTCGCAACTCAAGACTTCAAGACTTCAAACAGTTTGCATGCAAAGGATATGCAAGAAAGTACTTAACATGACTAACTGATAGTTCACACCACTGCTATGCTCTAAACATTATGGTGCCTTGAAATGGGGGGTATATAAAAAGTGCTATAACTTCCACATGATAAAATTGAATGTATGTATGCATAAATTGATAAAAATAGTGTTTATTAAAGTCTGAGAATGTGCACTTTAATCATATGTGAATTGCTTAGGTACAAATTAGGGAGGACAAAGACAAATAAATAAAACATGCTTTTGTCTCAAACATTGTGGAGGGTGCTGTACATACCTGAGTCAAGTCAATTAATGTATCACTTTTTCAGTGTGTTCCATCTGTTCCAAGTGTTGCCTTTGTTCTTTTGCTGTGTTTTCTTAGCCTAAGTAATCCAAATGACCAACTAACTGCTTACCTGCTGCTGTTGGTGTGTGACTCTAAATACAGCAGCCTGGCTACTGTTGCTATTATCATGATACATGAATGTTTCGCAACATTTTGCAATCAGTAGTTCTCATACAGTAATGCACCCTCATACAATAATTTTTTATTGATTTAGCTGTCGATGTGGTAATGTCAGACCACCTGTCCATGATGTCTCATGTTTCATAGTACTGCATTTCAGTATGCTTCATTCGAGCATTTTTCACTTTTATTGGGTATTTGCTCCCTCTATAGGATTTCATAGAATTACAGGATGTGAGATTTTTAAAATGATGCGCTGACTGTGTATTACAGAAGGAGCAGCCAAGATTGTAAATGCAACGCTCCAATTAGGGCTGCAGCGTGTTTGACCCTGCTATTGACAGGTTTAAGAAGAGATAATATAGGAATGGGTCAAGAGCCTACATGCTGTCAAGACAGATCGTTACAGATGACGTCAGCTCGAAATGCACTTTTTTGTGTACTTCTTATTCTTTCCCTTTTTCCAGGAATACATTGGAGCCTGTATTGTCCTCATAGCAGCTGTGGCCTCTATCACCAGTTCGCTTTACAGTCATCTCTCTGCGGGGCTGGTGGGGCTGGGCCTGACTTATGCTCTCATGGTAAACACACAAAACTGTAGGGTTGCAGTAAGGATATTCAAATTTGTAATCTGAATGTAATGTTAGGAATTGATGCCTCTGTATATTTGCATGTTTGCACTATTTTAGCGATATGCTGATGATTTTATATAGAGAGATATTTAATATAGAGTTTGGAATCAATGTTCAGTAATATTAATATAAAAACAGTTTTGTTTCGGACAAAGAAACGTGTATAAAATTATTCTAATATGATCCTATTACAGCTTCATGTGTTTCAAGTCATTTGATTTTTAATTTATAATTAAATTAACATCCAGAATGCATTCATATTTCTAAAGTAGTGATTGAACCTCAAGGCAGATAACTTGGCAGAAATACTGTAATTAGATAATTCCACTATTTATTCTTTACATACTGGTGTTCCCGTGTTCTCAAAATACTTAAATATTGAATGAACAAAGTAAAAATAACTTTTCATGTCTTGTTTATTACATTAAAATCTACATTGTACAAATTATTACTGTAAATAAAATCACAAAAATTATGCACATGGCATGTGATTCCCATCTTTTGGATAGTAACGTGTATGTAAATGTCTGTTGACCCTAGAATGTTGGCAAATAAAGACGATTCTGATCTTATTAAATTACTATGATGTAGCCGTTTGCTCCTCTGTGTAATTTCCTCTGCTGCCCTTCGGTCTTATAGTTTGTACCTACATGTTTATACAGGTGTCTAACTATCTGAACTGGATGGTGCGTAACCTGGCTGATATGGAGGTGCAGTTAGGAGCAGTGAAGAGGATTAATACCCTGCTAAAGACAGAACCAGAGAATTATGAGGGGCTGTTGTGTGAGTAAAAGGCATTTCACACACTGAAGGGCTGGTTTTGACCCAGATCCTACACAGGCCACTTGGTATTATACTGTGCTTCTTCACAATTTTCCCACAGGCATGCTTTTTACTGGCATTTCTGTAGCTTTCACTCTACTGTGGCTTCTACTGCATTGTACTGTCTTGCCCTGTCTCTGTAACTCCATCAGAATGTCTTTTGTATTCTTTTTTCCATCACACATACTTTTCTCTCTCAGTCTTTGTAGCATTTTAACATCTTTTTCTGTATCTGCCTCCTCTGTCTCTCAGCTGCGTCCCAGGTCCCAGAGGGCTGGCCCCAGCAGGGAGAGATTCAGATCCAAAACCTGAGCGTTAGGTACGACAGCACTCTGAAGCCTGTCCTAAAGCATGTCAATGCCCACATCAAACCCGGAGAAAAGGTATAGCCGCACTTCTCTACAACTGAGTCAGATCTCAGTATAAACATTGTGACAAACACTACACTTTAAACTTTTGGGTGATGTAGCAAAAATAGAACATTATACATAATACCTTATGTTATTTTCTTGATACATGATATGTTGTTTATGTAGATTATTGGCAACACATAATATGCATCATGATATGAAACACCAGTAGTGGCATATTTTAAAAATCTTTCAAACTATCAAAAGCTACGAATATAATCATTTTTATTCAGTGTTTCACATTCTGCAGTGCACTAAATCCAGTTTGGATAGCATTCTTTAAGTACTGATGATGTCTGTGATACGATCAGAAAACGTGACGTAACTTAAATGTTCAAATACTACCACATGAATAAAATTGTTTTCTGCCAGAAGTAAACTCAAATATAAAATTGATGTAATATATTTTATTGATGTGGAAACAGTATACATATTTGAATCGAGTAAATTCAGTGAATAATTTTTTCAGCATGCAAGGACCTATGTATGAGTCCTCGCAATGTCATAGCTTACATGTTAGTTCCACATAACCAGAAAATAAGGTTGAGGTTAAATGGACACAGTATAAATGTGTAATACAAAATTCTGCTGTTGTCTGTGTTTTTATTGCAGGTTGGCATCTGTGGCAGAACAGGAAGTGGAAAGTCTTCTTTCTCTTTAGCCTTCTTCCGTATGGTGGATACTTTTGAAGGTGTAATTTCAAAACAAAATTTTTATGACTTCAGAATTTTAATTATTCTCCATCCTAAATTATGTGAACTTGTACTTTATTTTAACAGGGCGCATAATCATAGATGATATTGACATAGCAAAGCTGCCTCTTCAGACACTTCGGAGTCGCTTCTCTATCATCCTCCAAGATCCCATTCTCTTCAGTGGAACAATCCGGTTAGACACATTTCTAATGTGCCGCACTGAATTGAGCTAAATGAACAGATTATATTTACACTGAATTAAAGCAATAATTCTCTCAAAATGGTAATGTTGCTTATGTTGAATAAAAGCAGATAGCTTCCATTCAGAATGCAAATAACAACACATTAATTGATGGCTGCTATAGCCATGTTAGCACTACTTCTGTAAGGCACATATGTAAGACACACAGTTATTCTTCTGCAAAGTAATGTGTTCTTGCCCTTTGAGTGACTTTTGTGCTTCAAAGACTGTTCTACCACTGTGACCAGCGTTTGAGTCCCAGTTGAGCCATATGCAGTCCCTTGTCGGGGGTCCCCAAGATGCCATTGGCTGCACTCTCGTTGGACCGGAAAGACAGCGGGGTACTTCTCTCCCCATCACTAAGCAACGCACCAGCCAATTGGGGCATCTGCTGGATGCTAGATATCTCCCTCGGGCAGCCTGAGCTCTTGAATTATGCTGCTTTTTTGTTCAAAAGTGGTTGCGTCTGGCACCGCCGAGGGTGTGAACCTTCTTCCGTCCTGATTGGCGGTGCTGATTGTATGGTGTGATAGAGGAGAGGAAAGGAATTATGAGAAATTGGGACTAAAACAGAAAAAAAAAACTTTTTTTTTTAACTTGAACGATCTCCTTGCTCTAAAAATGCTCTAAATATCACTTTTGTGTTCAGTTTTAATCTAGACCCAGAGATGAAGGCTACAGACAGTATGCTTTGGGAAGCTCTGGAAATCGCCCAGCTCAAACCAGTGGTGAAAACCTTGCCTGGGGGACTTGGTAAGGGAGGTGTACACTAATTGACACAGACAAGTTGTTTATGTTTGAGATAAGCTTGTAGTTTTCAGTGGTTAGATTCCTTCCTTTCTATTTTAATGTTTTATAGTTTGAGTCAGTCAGGGCCTGCCAATATATTAAAGAGTCGAGAAGCGAAGCCTTCATTACATATATTTCAGAAAGGCTCCAAATTTGTAGAGGGTTGGAGCTAGACAGCCAAAAGGATTATTAAGAATTCATGGCTCATCTTTCAGTAATCAGAGATGTGTCTGCTGCAATTTAAAGAGGCTACTTATGAAATCCACTGCCCACTCAACTGGAATAACAAAATCATTACTGTTTCACTGTACAGTCATGTCACTGAAACTGGGGGCAACTACAATGCATAGTAAAATGAGTCAGGATGATGCGTGTTAACATGCAGGACCATGTGTGTGGTTTAATGATTCCTACTGTTGTGCCACGTTTTTTTCTGAAGCAGTCCCTGTGGCTTTTGCTCTGTTTTAGACGCTGTGGTGACGGAAGGTGGGGAGAACTTCAGCCAGGGGCAGCGCCAGCTATTCTGTTTGGCACGGGCATTTGTTCGCAAGAGCAGCATTTTGATCATGGATGAAGCCACTGCATCAATAGATATGGCTACGGTGCGTGTATGAGAGAGAGAGAGAATAAGAGAGAGAGAGAGAAATAGGAGGGAGGGGGAAAACCCAAGGGCTTGACTCCATTCTCTTTAATGCGCACTATTTCCTTGTCTTGTCTTCCATAGCCACAATGCACGGCTCTCAGCATCAGCATGTCTCTCTGAGCAAATGGAGCATGGATGCAGTAAATGCACTAAATGTTCCAAATGCACTCGCTTCACTGAATAGCTGAGCAGACAGACTTGGACTTGAATGGATATACTCTGCATTTCTGTGGAACTACAGTTAATGCTGACTTTAAAAACTCTCAGACTGAACTCAAAGATAAACGTTGCACATTAATTTGACACATTTATGTTGATTTACCCATGACAACAGTATTTTGTGCATGACCTTTCCTTTTACTACCTTTAATCCCTCTCCTTACCTCTGAACTGTTTTCTCTTTGCAAATAATTTTTTGGTCTGTTTTTTGTTTTACAGGAGAGCATTTTACAGAAAGTCGTAATGACAGCCTTTGCTGACAGAACTGTGGTTACCATAGCAGTGAGTATCCAGCAATACACCCCTATATCAGTTACACTGTATTTTTGATGAGCTTTATCGGAAGCACTGTATGCATGATCTATAGCGCACATACCGCATGAGTCAATTTTTTCTGCTGACATGTGCATGTATTTATTTCTTTTCAGCATCGAGTGCACACTATCCTGAATGCAGACCTGGTGATTGTGATGAAGAGAGGGGTCATTCTGGAGTACGATAAGCCAGACGTTCTCCTCAGTACTGAGGACAGTGTTTTTGCCTCTTTTGTTCGGGCAGATAAATGACCACTGACGACTGTCCGTTTAAAGTGCAATTCTACCATGTATTATTATTTTATATTTCAGCTATACATCATGTTTGTAAATAAGATGGGATTTCTTTACTAATAAAAGATAAATGCCTATATATATATATATTCATTTCTTTTTATCCATATTTGTCCATATAAATTCCATAACTATATGATGATGTGCTTTATAGCTGCAATACCTGACTTTTACTTCTTAATGAAGTATTAAAGGGCCCATATCATGGGAAACCAATTTCTTTCTCACCTTTATGAAATCAAAGAGTTTAATGTAGTATGTAAACTTTGGTAAAACTACCATTCACTCCACAGTCCATGCAGCTCATATATTGGATACTAAGCTGCAAAAATAGCCAGTTTTGAATATTTTGTTTTTGTGACGTCACAAGAACCCAATACGTTTGCATATGCCTGCCTTTTCAGCTTACATTAGATCAGCTCAGCACATTTTTTTAGCCTGGAATGCTTTTTGACCGAGGCACAAAACACAGCAGTCAATCTGAACAGAGGTCATTTACATATATATATATCAATCTCCAAGGCCCAGTAACATTAACAGGCTGTTTAATTCTAAAGTAAAGAGAGGTTGGATAGTGGTCATGTAAAAATGAATTATGACTGTTTGTGGTACATAAAACTACAAACATTCAAGACGAAAAAGAAAAATGGAGAATATGAGCCCTGTAAATTTAAACATGCCAAATCAGAGTTTGAAACAGACTGACATCAGTGTTGACTGACATATGTTAATGTTCAGATGTAATAATGCAAGAAAACAACTGAATATTTGTGAATGACTTGTTGAGCATTTCTTCTATTTCCCACGTCAGAACTTCCAATGTGTTTTATTTACATCTGCATTGAGTATGTGTGTAAATCAGCAGTAGTCCATGTGAAAGTATGAACCCCTGCTCTGTGTGGGATAAACAGAGATGGCCTCTCCCTGCTGAGCTCGTCACATAGTTCTGTTACCCGAATGCTGCCTCCCTAAACAGGCGGAGAGTGACTCTAAGGATGGTTGACAGAATATCCTGTTTCAAGTGACAGACAGCAGCAGCTGAGCCACTGGACGTTGAATATTCTCACGGGAGCGATCTGACTCTTAGAACCGAGTATGTAGGACTGTTGTCTTCGCAGGGCTACTATTATCACACAAGCCGAGTTTTGCCATAGAAAAAAAGCGTTTGACGTGAAGGATGACAGTATAAAGCTAAAGGTGAGTTGCTGTTAACGAGGAACGTCGAAACTGAAGCCTACACATTACTGCTAAACGCCCACTAATTCAAACGAATCACAAACTCGCGCAGCTCGATTCATCAAATGGGCATTTCCAAGGAACCGAATCATTAAAGTGAGTCGCTTCAATTGGGGGGAGATTCGAAAGAATCAAATGAACAATGGGAGTAGCTTTTATGCACACATGCAGCACGAATTCGTCCACAAAGGAACATCAAAAGGAGATTCGTTTAAAACTGCACGTCAAAAGAACAGAATCATGGTGTCGAGTCGATTCATGCAAAGAAACGAATCAGAATAAAAGTGAGTCGATTCGCCCAAAGAGATGGCTCGGAAGAATCGAATCTGTAAAGTAAGTCGTAATGCCCATCACCGCTGCCTGGCCAGGACTGAGGGGTAAGCTCAGCGCGCATAGTTTGGGTGAGCAGCTGACAGCACATGCTGTGGTGAGGGTGAAAGACTGGCGGAGTCGACGGGAGCCTCCTCGGCGTTTTCACCGAGCAGGTGCTGCAATGCGTGCCTCGTAAGGAACGGCGAGCACCTGAGCTTCGGAAGCCCTAGCATGGGACAGCTATGTTGTCCAGGAAAGGACTCATTCCCGACGACTTCGTGGTGACCCGTCTGGCTGAAGATGTCCTGCAGCCCAAATTCAAGACGAAGCAGCGCAAGGCGCGCTTCGTGGACAAGAACGGCGCGTGTAACGTAGCGCACACGAACATCCGCGAGCAGGGCCGCTTCCTGCAGGACGTCTTCACCACGCTGGTGGACCTCAAGTGGCTGCACACGCTCTTCATCTTCACCATGTCGTTCCTGTGCAGCTGGCTGCTGTTCGCCATGATTTGGTGGCTCATCGCGTTCGCGCACGGCGACCTGGACGCGGGGCGCGCGGACGCTGTGCCGTGCGTCACGGACATCCACTCGTTCTCCTCCGCCTTCCTCTTCTCCATCGAGGTGCAGGTGACCATCGGCTTCGGCGGCCGTATGATCACGGAGGAGTGCGCGTCGGCCGTGCTCGCGCTCATCGTGCAGAACATCGTGGGCCTGGTTATCAACGCCATCATGCTGGGCTGCATCTTCATGAAGACGGCGCAGGCCAACCGGCGCGCGGAGACGCTCATCTTCAGCAAGCACGCGGTGGTGTCGGCGCGCAACGGCCGCCTGTGCTTCATGTTCCGCCTGGGCGACCTGCGCAAGAGCATGATCATCAGCGCAACGGTGCGCATGCAGCTCGTGCGCCGTGGCGCCACGGACGAGGGTGAGGTGCTGCCGCTCGAGCAGATCGACATCCAGACGGACAACCCGGTGGGCACGAACGCCATCTTTCTCGTGTCACCGCTCATCATCAGTCACGTGATCGACCGCAGCAGCCCGCTGTACGACGTGAGCGCCGCCGACCTGCAGCGCCAGGACATGGAGGTGATCGTGGTGCTGGAGGGCGTGGTGGAGACCACCGGTATCACCACGCAGGCACGAACGTCCTACGTCTGCGAAGAGATCCTGTGGGGGCAGCGCTTCGTGCCCATCGTGTCCGAGGAGGACGGCATGTACGCCGTGGACTACTCCAAATTCGGCAACACCGTCAAGATCCCGACGCCCAGCTGCAGCGCCAAACAGCTGGACGAGGAGGGAGGACTGGCCAGATTCAGGCTCAGAGAGTCCGCCGCTGCCCGGGGCTCAGTGAGGAGGAGAATCAAACAGCAGCAGAGCACCAGCAAAGAGGAGTGAGCTCTTATTTTGGAAAGGAAACGGACGTGTGCGCGTGTGTTTGTGGGACAGTGGAGGTGGGCTCGAGAGAGTGAGATGTTTTCAAGCAATTGTTGAGTGGATGGGATGGGGTGGGGTGATGTGAGATGGGGTGGGGTGGGGTGAGGTAGGGTGGGGGGGTACTTTTTGTACTTGCTTCCCATTTTCAATCCCAAATGCTTAACCCGGTGGTCTCCTGTCCTGCTCCTGGACATCGAACATGCTTCCCCCATGCTTCCCCCTCCCCCTATACCTACACTAATGCATCCAATCAGGAACTTCTGAAGAAGTTCATTAGCGGGAGCAGGTGTGGCAGACTGTGGTTGGAAATAGACCTTGCAGGATAAGAGATCTCCAGGAGCAGGGCTGGTTGGCCTCTGCCTTAACCCATTACTGCGCATATCTGAAATGTTAAATTTCCTTTGGTCCAGAGCTTCTCTTAAGTTGTCTGAGAGAAATTTTCACACTGATCACACTATTTGGGTCAAAAGTGAGCTTTTATATCTTAATTTATGGTGTAAATGTTAGTTTTGTGGTCACTTAGTGGTTTTTTAACAATAGAAAATCCAAATTTGTGAACAAAATGTAAAAATTACATGCAATAAAAGTATAAAATAGGCACTGTTAGATGTTCATGCAGGGTAAAACTACAAAATTTCATCACTTCAGTCCGATCAGGACGTGTATTTTTTTTGTCTGGTCATACAAATAATGTGTGTTGTACTGTATAGACCAGAGCTGTGAGAAGTGACAAATATGCATATATTTGCAACCTAATATAAATGAGTGGTTTTCATGCAGTTCTAGAGTGGATATTGGGGTATTTTGTACTTGCTGACCCTCTTTATCCATCGCAGGCATCAGAAATATTATTACTGTACTATAAACATTGAACAAAGTACAGAAACCAACATTTATATACACAAATAATATATGCAATTGTTTGTAGACTAATGTAGATGGAATGAAAGCAGATATATTTTCTAGGCCTAGATATGTAGTATTTTGTATTGCTTCCTCTTTTTAATCCAATCCATCCTCTTTAAAAATGTTATTAAAGCCACTGTTACATAGAACATGGTAGGGACACTGACATTTGAGATTGGTCCAGTTCTTTATAGGCTGAGAATAGACAAGGTCAAGGCTGAGATTATTTAATGCAGGTTCTGAGTAGATATGAGGGCATTTTGTATATAAATCCCCACTTTTTAAATGGCTTTACAAATATTAATGCACCATTACACAGAAGTGCTATGCTGTCAAAACAGTAACTTATATTTGTCTCTAAATATCATAGCGGTGCACATTTGCAGGACTCGACTGGATAAGAGTATTTTATATTTACTCCCCCTTTTTAGAACATTCAAGACATCAAAATATTATTAATGCACCACTCCAAGGCACAGAGCCATGGAACTGACCATTATATATTCATATAATATATGCAGTTGTTTGTAGCCTGATATAGATGGGGTCGAGGCTGCAGGCCTAGACAGGGTTCTCACGTTTTGCTGACCAGGAACAAGTTTTCTTGCTATTCATAAAGGTCACTAACAGTACAATGGCAAGAGGAACAATGAAATATGATATGCATCACGGACACTGCAGCAGGTCAGAGAAAAACAGAATATTTTCTGATTTGTTCCTTTACAGCACATTTATAATACTGGCACTGGGAATCTGTTCCAGGTTTTGGAAATTAGTGCATTTACATGTCACTTTTCCAGACCTGCACGAGAACTCTGCCTAGCATGGATATGGAAATATTTTGTATTTGCTTCCCCTCATTAATCCATTTCAAACTATATATTATTAATGCACTACTAGTTAGAACTGAGCTATGCTGTCAAATAGTTTTTTTTGTCTCTAAATATTACAGACATGCGCGTTTGAATGCTATTTTTCTCAGGGTACTGGATGTTTGAATGCACATCTTGGTTTGCTGTAGTTAAATGCTGAATGTATGCCTCCTTGTGGTACACGGGCCTTGACATACAAATAAACTAGACTGTTTATATGGGTTGCGGTGCTTGGGTTCATTTTTAGCGGTTGTTCACAGCTGACATCTGCTGGCGAGTCCGTGCAATTACATCACACAGTATCAGTCAAAACCATAAACTCCACGAAGATGCGGATTCATTACTTTGGAAAACGTCAAACTGCAATCCCAGGAAACACTAACAAATGAACATCAGTTGTATATTTTATCGTTTCAAAAATAAAGTTAAAAGAAAAGAGCTTTTATGGGGCATGATCTGCTTTCTTCCACAGCGGCGCTTAAATAGTTCAAATTTACACAATTTTACACTTACCCGAGATATATATTTGCTCCTTTAGTTAAACTCTTGAGTTACGAGGCTAATGTAGCTAACAAACATGATCAGTCACCAGACACCCCACATCTTTTCTGTGAACACATCCACAAACCTCTCAAACCGCTCACACCGTATACAAATCTTCATTGAGGCTGCGCTGACTTGTCGATGTGCTTTAAGACATGGTGGACTTAATGTGAACTACACAAATGAACAAACCCTCACCGTGTAACAGTAAATTAACTGTTAATCGTGAATTTCCTGTCTGAAAATAGCAGCTTAAAGACAGAAACAAGAGAAATTGAGCTATTCCTCCCGTTATATCAGAAACAGGACGCCAGAGGGCGCCCGCGAGCGAGCCCTCAATGAATGGGGGTGAATGGAGCTAAACGGCTACAAACGAAAAGTTGAAGAAGTTTCTAACCACTTATCCGGGACTTTCCTTTAATTTTAGAAAGTAGAAAGGTGTATTTGCCAGGTTTTGCGCAGTAAGATATTAGCATTAATGCTACTGAGTGCTGATTGGTTGGCGACCTGATCAGCTCATTGGCTGAGTGAAGCAGTTTGCAGTCACTGAGGTTAATGTACATGAAGTGTCCTTATGAAGACCTGTAACAGTTCAAAAACACTTAAAAATATAACAGCAGTGTTTTGTGCTGCTCTGTGTTCAGTAACTGAATACATTCATCTATATAAAAATGTTTAGGCACTTACAAACTATGATTGTGCTCAAATGCTCCATATTAACCCATTTACTTTGGCCTCACTCAGGAGCGCCCTCTGGTGCCTATAAAAACCCAGAACGCATTACTGAGTGGAGATTCTCCTCTCTACACATTCTCTGGGATTCTTAAAGTAGAGAGAGGGTCTCTGATATTCTATGGCAGAATTCGGCACAATAAAGGAAAGGCTTGGGCGACCTAATGTTTGTTAGGAACGTCAGCCTCGTAGCACCAGTGATACTAAGGAACTACAGAAGCAAAAGTTGGACACCAACATGTTTTGACTGACTGACTACATTTAGGTTGAGTGGAAAATTGTGTACATGTGATTTCTTCGCTGAACCATTCCTTTAAAATAGCTATACAGAAATGAACTGTAAAAAGCAAATATCAATTGCTACTTAAATTTCATGCTAATATTACTCGCACAACTTGTTTCAATCATCCCTAATGATACTGAGGTTCACTAATGCTGGAGATCCTTACATAAGAAATCTACTAAGCAGAAGTTTTTTTACAGCTTGGTTTTAATATTACTGCTAAGGTAAAACAGCTTGAGTCAGGTTGTTTTTTTTTCCATTTTTTATTAGATTATAATTTGCAGAGCTTAAAATAATAAATTGCCTTAACTTAGATAATTAAAATACATAAAAGAAAGCGAGAACTGAAGAACCCTGCAAATAAAAAGTCAAAAATAAATAAAATAAAAGCGGAGACGAGTCTCCCTCCATGGAGGCTATTCTGACATAACCCACTTGCGATTTTCTCTATATAGTTACAATCTATTTCTTAAAACTGCAAGCAGAATGTGCATGTTCTACATACGAGTAGGTTGCCATAATTTCCATGACCTCTTTGATAACATAAAAAGAAAAAATAAAAACAAACTGAAAAAGTCTGTGACCCTGGAGGATGGATCCTCATCAGTCTGACCCAGTAAATGGATTGCCACAAAAAGGGTGAATTCATCCCAGGCAGAAACCACCTGTGTCATCTACCCACATCATCAATCTCACCCATTCTGTATGCCATCATATCCACATTCCACCAGCTTCAAGCTGGTCACTGTATGAGAGAGAAGAGATGACCATTCTGGTCATCAAAACCCTCTAAGACATTCATCTCTGGTGTTTAAGTATTGCGTGACCTCTCAAAACGTCTGAGCACATCAGAATAGAATTTAACTATGGACGAAGGAACAGGAGAGAGGGAGGAGACAGGTACGATTAGGAGCGACGAATGGAGACAACAAGTGAATTGGAACCAGCTTGACTGGAATGAACGTTTACAGTGAAGTCCCAGTCACAGAGAACTAACAGTCAGGGCAGCTGGCACCTTGTAATAATTATTTCTCCATGAGGGGGCGCTAGATTTTCAATGTGTGTCTCTATAACGTTGTCTAATAGCGCAAGACAGTGCCTTAGTCTCACGTCTTAGGTATTGATAAGGTACTAAGGGCCAATTTGAAAACACCATCCCCATAAAACAACACACATCCTCCAAGAATAAATAAAAACGAAAAGATAAAAGCAATTAAAAAAATAAACAAACATTGTTCCTAGTCAGATTGCAAGGTAGAGAGTTGGGCTGTTTTTTTGGAAGGGGGAATCCACACCAGTGTGCACTGGTCAGAGGCACTGCCTTCCCCCCATGCTCCGCCCCTTTGACCAATTCTTATGGTGGTAAAAAAGTGATCAGGATGTCAAAGGGTCTGCGAGTCCTGCCAGCAGCCCGGCCCTGCCCAGGGCCTTGTCTCACTCCCTCTTCATCCTCCTTTTCTTCTGCGCTAATGGGGCTCGGCGGCACTGCTGGCAGCTCATCTTTCTGTCACGTGGTTCTGTTGCGGGGAGGGGGGCAGAGGGGTGCACAGCACCTCCGACAGGTCATCCATGATGCATGTCTCCTTTGGGTCGACCAGATTGAATTCCCTCACAAAGACGATAAAATGTGCATACAGCGTGTTCAAGTGTCCCTGCAGCTCCAGCGCCACCGTCTCCTTAAAGTGCGCCCAGTAGATGTGTGCCAGCACGTGGAACAGGTACCGGCAGATCTTCTTCACCAGAGACTCAAACGAGTTGGGGAACTCTTTCCCTGAGAGAAGAGACGATAGAACACAAAGGAGGCACGTATTAAGGCACTGCGGATGCACTGGCTTAAATCTAAAAACTCCAATTACTGGAGATTACTAATCGCTGAACACTGGATCAGTGAATCTATGAATGAGCTGACATGGAAATTCAGAATCAATGCAGATATCCAATGTTTTCCATGCACATATATCTGGCAATGCTGAAGCCAATACATAAGCATTCATAAAATGTAGATATCAGGATTACATCTACCTGGAATAGTGTTACAGAAAAATAAAGCGTTTATCTCTGTAGGGTTACAAATGCTGTAAAATGAATAAAAACTGATATGAGCACAGTAGCCCAGCGTTGCCTAAACATAGTATAGAGTAAGAACAAAAAGACAGTTAACAAAGTTAAAACTGTTTAACTACAAATAAAAATTACGTTTTTTTTTCTGTAAGTTACTTTGTTCCCATTTGTATTGTGTGAAATAATATTGTTCATTTTCACTAACTATGGATGCACAATCATATCGGACTCATGAGATAACTTTAAGAATTTTTTTTATTAGCATCAGAGAGATGTTTAGATTTGACCAATATTTTAAACTGATATTTGATGATGTATTTATTCTACTCTGGAACAGCAGAGCTTTTAGGTGACTGAGCTACTGTGCTAAAACTGTTTTTTAACTGCATTTGTAATCCTTTAAAAATAAGTGGCATTTCTCTGTGATGCAAATTCAAGTGTGTATATATACACACGCGCACGCACACACACACACACACACACACACACACACACACACAAACAAACAAACAAACAAACATGTATCAGACATCAGCATCTGCCCAAAATTTCCTTGTCAGTGCACTGCTATTACTAACCATCATTACCGCCATATTTTTATTGCTGAAAATTCTGTATGGAACATTACAGTAAGGAGTAAGCAACAACCTCTTTTTATCAATACTCGGAGGTGCTAGTTTTCCTCAAAACATCTTAGGACAGAGCAGCAGGGAAAAAAAATAGACATTTGCAGAAATGACCACAGGGTGGCACCGCAGTTTGCTTACCATATTTCGTTGGGAAGATTTCCTCATCCGTCACTAGTTTCTGCACTAAACTCATGACAAAGTCCACATACTGAGGTCCTGTACACTTGGTCTTCTTCCCCCTCTCATCATACCAGTAGTATATTCTGTACAGATACGAAAAGAAATGTGTTCATATGGTAGAAGCAGAGCCAAAAAAAACAACTCTTAACACTGTCTAAATGCTTACAATGTCACGTGCTTGACAAAAAAGATTGCCCTTTAGGTTAGCTTCATTAACAGAAGCAGCCAAATGAATGAACTATCTGCCCCACTGAACGCCAACGCAGTAGAACTGTGCCATTCCACCGAGCCGCAGGTTGGAAGTAATGGACTGGAATTCCTCCACCATCAGAGTGTTTAAGGAGGCGTGCAATGAGAGGGGCAGACAGGAGAACGGGTGGAGGGCCTCCAAGGCGTGTAGACATTACAAATCCCCAGGAATGTAGTCTCTCCACATAGCTGACCATGCTACAGGGACCCACTGACCGATAACCAATGCTAACAATGCTAACACCACTTTCTGTCCAACCGAAGATGCTTTGTGGATGAACACAAGCAAACTGAAAGACTGGGACAGGGGAGAACCCCTGCCTGCTCAAATTTAACTGAAATAATTACTATAGTTAATTAAAGGGTAACTAAAGCCCACAAAAACAAAACCTATGCCCTCTGCGTCCGAAACCCGCTGAACAGGCTACGCTGTTGGCTCAGTGCCAGTAACGGGTTTCCAACTGCCACCTACAACAACCACAATAATGCTAATGAGATCTCAAAGATACATGTGGGTTACAAACATCGTTCGGCACAAGATCTATATGCTGTTATAAGCAGTTGTTGACAAACTAATCACAATTGGCAAACCAGACATCCCAAGTGTTTAATGCCTCTAAAAGCTCCCTTACAGAAAGTTATTACACAAAGTGGTAAATACATTTCCTGATATCTGACAGACTGTTTTACAACAGTTTTGAGATAAGCTTTTGGCTGAAATGTATTCTTGAAAATATATTCATGGTGGAGAGGCACATGCAGGATACCCAAAGGATTACTATTATCAACATTACATATGAAAACTCAGATGATGTGCAGGTTCACCAGTCGTTTTGGTAAGCAAATAAAATGGCTAAATTTGCGTTGTGGACGACGCAACCAATGTTTGTGGAGTCCCATCACCACTACTGTAAAGAAAATCCAAGTCTGTAAGTTTCTCTACAGTGAACAATCATCAAATACTCTGAATGATCTCACTGTGTAAATTATGCTGAATTTGGTCTGAAAAATTAGTGAAATTCCTTTTCCATTTTTCTTAAATCTAGCACGTACCCTATTATCACATTATCCAATTTAAAAAAAATCGTAAAATAAAACTATTTATGACCGACATGGCTAAAAATAACTGTCTTCTATTTGGCCAATAACACATATGCATTTATCATAGTCAAAGTGCGTCATCGTGTGCACTTTCAAATTACAAACTGTTGACAGTAAGTGACTTGTCACCTGAATAATCACAGCTATTGAGACACAGCAATGACTTCATCTGAGGAGGCTGTTTTGACGATTAAACCCATCTTTGCTATTTTACAGGCTGAGTTTGAGTGTTTTGAGTATTTTCTCCCAAAACAGAGTTAAAAGGGGGTGTGTGTCTGTGTGTGGCCGGGGTGTTTCAAAAGTGGGAGATCAGGTTCAACAGGACCAAGGTGTGATTATGCGTCACCTGCAGAGGGACCTGCCCTAGAGGTACACACAATACACACACCTCTAAATCTCTGGCCAAACAGGGCCAGCTTGTTAGGTGATGAATTTGAAAAAGGAAAAAAAAAAACAAACCATCCTCCTTTGGATTACACAGCTAACGCAGAACTTTTCAGTATAGTCAGTTAGCAAAATTCATTTTCTTTTTTAAAGGCATAACATCACAACATTAAAACCAAGATGGTGTACTTTATCAAACAACTCATGAACAACCTCCAAAATAAAAAGATGCCAAAACAAGCAATTAAACTGGACTATAATTAAATCTGGAAACTTTTAAAATGAAAGTGTGAACTGAGAGTGAGCAGCCAGATAATTATAGTTTAATATCATATAATGGTCTTGTCAAAGCTAATACTACAATCTTTGGAATCCTGATCTCCACCCATCCGTTAGCTCAGTTCAAACCTTTTCCTCACCTGAGCAGTCTGAGAAATCGATTGACTTCACTTTTTAACCTCCACTTTATCTGGTTTACCCTTGGGACCTTAAAAATTAAAGTTCATACTTACCAAAGCCTCCTTTAAGAGATGTTAACCCAACATGCCAACAAAAAGGAAATTCTCAACAAAGAATGTGTGCTGACATGTACTGCACATTCCAGGTCTGGTTTAACCTACTTTCCTCTGAGAGACCCAGTCACCAATCTCTCTCTCACGTAAAAAGAAATGAGGCCACTGCGGGAGCAGGTCACAGGGAAGCCCTGCAGTTCGGCAGTTAGCCTCGAGTTTTTGTGACGGAGGGAATCCGGTTCTAAACAGCACTCCTAGTCTACTTCATGACAGGACCTATACTGCTCAATAACTTAACAGATTCTTAAGTCACAGTCTAAGCTTAGTACCCAAATATGTGGTGCTGGAAGTGTTCTGAACCTTTATATGTGGATCAATCACTGAAACTTTGAAATAGTCTGAGTACAGGCCCTGGTTTGAGGCGTCATTGTGAAATTTTAACAAAACAAGGACTTACGTATTACACGCCGTCATGGCTTGACATGTGTCGCCAGTGCAAAACTCTGAGATTGTGCTATACTGCAGGTTGATGAGATTGAAGAAGGTTGTTGCTGTGGAGGACACAAGAGAAGAGGAAGTCAGAGTAAAACAAAAAGAATTTACTTAATCATCAAATAACAGAAGATGTTGTATGATTTGTATTCAAAGTGCCATGGAATGTAGGACTCACTGAAGCCACAACATGAGCTCATGAGGAAACTTAGTTCATATGAAACAGAATCTTATTACGGAATAAGATTCACTGACTGATACCAACAAAGTGGTGTGATCCCAGCTACTAAAGTATTTCCCCTTAAAAAGGCTGCTTATTTCAAAACTACATCACATGAACAACAAACCCAACAAGTAGAGTGAGGTCCTACAACCCGCTCGGCAGGAAGTTGTTTGTTTGCGAACTTAAGCAAACAAAGTCTCTACAAATGTCCCTGATGGCTTTAACGTGGGCGATAAAGAGAATCTGTTTATGTAGTAAATCAGACAGGCCGGGCTAACTCACTGTTGCTGGCCAGCCATTCGTTGAGGTCTATCTCTCTGGGCAGCACCACCAGCTCTTTGAGGTCGAAGTCCACCACCCGCACTTTAGTGTACTCCGGCTCCAAATAGTGCTTCTTCTCTTCAGCTGGAGGCTTCTTTCCATTGGGCTTCGTTTTAGACTTCCTACATAACACAAAAAGGGGGGAATTTTAAATAGCAGGACAGAAATTGGTCCTAAACTAGAACTCTATTGTCAATAGTGGTTCTCCAGTAAAATGCTTCCAGCTTTAAAAAGCGCCAGGATCATTTAAAACTCAGGTGAGAAAACAGCTTTATACTTCCAGCTCTGTTTTAAAACTACTTTAAAGTGTAAACGTTAAAACCACACGTCAGTGGCAGTTTTCCACCATAAACCGTCTGTGACTGAGGTCAATGGCCAAGGGTCAAGCCAAAAGGTGTTAACAGGCTAATAAAGGAAAGAACAGAGAAATGGACAACACAGGAATTATGTGTAAACCCCCCCATGAAAAACTAAGACTGTAAACACTGGATTTGTCTCCGTATAACAGTCCATAAAGGCAAAAAAAGGCATTTTGATGTGGAACACTTCACACCCTAGTTATTCCCCAGGCTCCTCTCTTTCCTCTCATTTTTTTTTCTTTCTTTTGGCAGTGCTACTGTGTTTAGGTTTAGATTTGTTGCAAGACAACGGAATTTCAGTGCGCTCCCATAATTTACCGCTCTTCTTACTGACCTTAATTTCCGGCTTCTCCACACCCGCTCGCTCAATACTGTGTAATCATCCCCTTCTCCCACTTAAATGTTTTTGGCCTCCTCTCTTCCTCCCATTCACATCAACTCCCTCCCATTCCTGGACAACCCACAAAAACCAGGAAAAGGACTTATCTTAAAGTCCTAAGTCCACAAACGACTTACTTAAGCACTGGCCAACAAAAAGGAATACCCCGAAGCGATTTGCGTTATTTTGCTTTGCATCTGAGCAGGATAGATGTTACCATCATTTATGTCCAGCTTTAAAGTCTAAATATCTCACTAGGCCACCACAGTAGAGCAGAAGGATTAAGCTCAGGAGCGTAGGAATCAACTTAACCAGTGGTTCTCAAACCAATCGCCAGTGGCCCCCAGATAGTCCATATTTAGCTCCATCCCTTTGTGTTGAGTTGGGACAGAGTAAAAAAGTGGACTATCTGGGGGGTCCTGACGATTAGTTTGAGAACTACTGGCTTAAAGGTTAGCATACCCACACTCTACCACACATTAGATTCAAGCATCAAAGGTACAGTTGATATAAAGGAACTGGAGACGTTCAGGTCCACACACATGCACTCTTTAGTCTGTTAAGCAATCTAACTCTTGTAGGACCTTCCGTGATGTTGAACCAGCTTGTCCTCATGTGTGGCAGACAAAGTATGGAGCACCAAGCAGTGCAGATCTAAGCATCCTCTGTAGGCACCAAAACAGATGTTGTCCTTTCACACTGGTCTAAGGCCAGCTTACTCTTCCAAAATCTCAGCCTCAGCCAATGTCACTAATGATCTCAGATCAGTCTGGGAAGCATGCAGAGAGAGCAAGTGAAAGGCAGGCAGCTGTCGTGTACAGCTGGTACAAGAATGAAAAGGAACTATGGCCGGGGCCTGCTGAGTCTGTCTGACTCTGAGTGACCAGCACAGCTGAGGGGAGAGGAAAGACCTCAAACAGTACATTAAAAACCTTACAACAACAGATCATGAGTATAATGTGAGGGAAACACATTTGCATCTGATGGTGTGAGATCTCTTTAAAGTTGGTTTGGAAAGTTTTGCAAGCAAAATGTTCTTCTTGAGACATCAAAATGCCCCAAAGAACATGTGCAAAGAAACGATACTACATGAGGCTGTAGTATCATAGCTGATCTTTATCTTCTCTCTGGATGTACAGAAGCTGTGGCTGGTTTTGCTCTTTGGTCAAAGCTTTCTGGCCTGAACTCAGCCTACAATACCTTTTATGGCGAAGAAATGTGGAAGTTACCAGGAGCACACACAGATTTGTGAGCAAGTATGTGTGTATAAGGAGGAACCCAAGTAAGCAAGCAAGCAAGCAAGCAAACAAAAGGGCTGCTGGCAGTGAGAAGTTTTCTTTCTCCTAAAATAAGTTAGCTAATGCCTTTAGAATTTGCCCTGTCCATGTAAATCACAAAAAGAAATTCATCCTGGAAAATTACACACACAAAAAAACTGGAAACGGCTAAATAAAACAATGTGTCACAAGAACCCGTTGTTGGTTTTTGGAGGAACAAGTTGTTCTTTCCTCACTGAAAACTAATCTAATTTGGGGTAAATTCAGTGTACATGGAACATGGAACATGTTCATGCATACTTACCAGAGGTATTTTTCCTACCAGCATATTTAGCTGTGTGTGTGTGTGTATGTGTATTGGTACGCATACGCCTGAGCTGTTTAAGGGAATGAAGGAAGAGCATTCTTGCTTGTTTTTATGGAAGCCTCTACAAAATGTGACTAGAGGTATTTTGTCTATGCATCTCCGGCATTAAAAGCAGTTTGGTTTCAAGGCACAATAACTTGTTTGGTTCAAACACCCGGGAACGTTACTATCTAAACTTGCGCAAGCAAAGCTGAACAATGCTCTGCTCTGGCTCAAACAGAACGGAGGTGATCCAGGAAGGAACTTCACTGGCACCATATGGATGGCATTACCTTAAGCAATTCCAGCAGACACATTTTAAAATTCCAGCAAAGAAGTTGCATTCGGAGCTGCTAGAGGCCAAAATCTAAAGTGTTTAAATGTTTAACACTGCATGATAAGCGTTCATTAAAAATGAACGAATGGTTCTGAAGGGAATTTTTAGCAGGTCTAACAGTCTCCCTATCCAGAGGTTAAGTTATATTAATCAAATCAAGCACTTTATGCAAAAGGTTAAGACTCCCAGCAGAGTCCTGAATATTAAAGCCAGTTCTCACAATTTGCACACAGCTCACAGCTCAATTTAAACAGTGACAAAAGAAGAGATAGCAGGCTTTGATAAGCACACTAAACGTACACACTCACTGGTCAGGATGTTTTCAGCTCCACGTGCCCTTGGAAATCACTCCTAAATGTGACACGACAAAAAAATCTACAATGTTTTTTGAGCAACATTAATGGGATCAATGCGTGGTATAGTGTAGTGGGTAACACCTCTGCCTTCTACACTGTAGATTGGGGTTCAATCCCCCACTTGGACAAACCGCCTGCACTATACCAATAAGAGTCCTTGGGCAAGACTCCTAACACTACCTTTGCCTACCTGTGTAAAATGATCAAACTGTAAGTCGCGCTGGATAAGAGCGTCTGCCAAATGCAATACATGTACATGCAATGCAGGAAATGGCAGGCGAAAATTGCCAACAAGAAGGTAATAAGATATTATTAACAATAATCGCCACCAGGGAAACTGCAGGAACTGTATACATTTCATATTAAAGAGCTTTTAATGCCACTGAGCTTAAGCTGCACAGATCTTCTCCAGCTAAGCTTCTGAATGGCAAGTCAAAGGGCATTTACAGAAGCTGTTAAACCTCCACTTAACATTCAGACAAGTTACCTGCAGGTGATTTTCTCACACCTGTGGTTCAAATCAAATCTGAAAAAAATCTATTTCTATGTTTTGCTGTACGTGAAGAAAATGCACATAACGTGGTGGATACATTGAGAACAAAAGGAGATGCAGACAAGAGGTCAGTAAAGGCCTGTTTAACACAGAATCAACACCAAGGGGACGGTACAAGAGCCCATCAGCATTACAACAGCTTTGTGGACGAAGAACTGAAGATAAAGCCCTCACAAAGTCTCTCCCCCCGACTATGCACCATCAAGAGACACATTTGTGTGAACACCCAAAATACGAGACAAGGTGAAAGTGTGATTTTATTACCTCAATAAAGGGGGCAAGTGAACTGGTAGTTGGGTAACTTGATGGCTACCAACGTCACAAACTAAACAAAATCAACTTCTAATGAAAAGGAATATTCACTGGTCCCTAATTAGTACAAGTTTACTGTGATCTGAGTTTGTTTCATCTCCCTCATGCCTAAGAGAGATTCACCTATTGTCTCTCACTATATGACAACTGCACTCAAAAGTGCACATCATACGTTTACTATGCACTAAACGTCGAGATCTTTAACGCATCAGGTTCTTGCATTTTACCCTTGTGAAAAAAATGAATATATCAAAAAGAATAGGGCAAGTTGCAAGTTGTAAAACCCCAGCTTTCTCTTGCTGGCGCACTACTAGCCGCAGTGAAAGGGAGTTGGGTGAGAGCTCCGCAAACGTTGCAGAGAAGAATGATTTACAGCGGTAGGAGCGCAACTTCAAAACAGTGTGATGATCTGGAGACTAAACCCATGTATGTGCGCCATGTTGAAGACGCATGCGTGGCAGTGCGAGGACACGGAGCCTCAAACAGCGCAAACATGAGGTTCCTGGGGCAAAAAGAAACACCAAAACCGAGCATGTAAATAGAGAAAACACGGCTTTCGAACAACACGCTGCCAGTTTACTTAAAAGAGATGCTCCTGCAACACAGACAATCAGCTTCTCTGAGGACTAAAGAACCAATAACGTGGCGGTGGATAAAAACAGTTGAAACCTGATGAAACGTCTCTGCACATCAAACACCATCGTCATTCTGACGGACACAGCAGCGAACCAACTACAAAACTTCTCGCACGAATTTCCTTCATGCGAAGCTCCGATAAACTCGCATGTAAACTATTTGTTAGCGTGCTGATCTCATCCATGGTGGGTTAGACAAAGTAACGAAGTGAACGGAGCGAAGCTGGTTTACCTTAAAACTTTGCCCACAGCCTGAAGGACCATTTTGCAACTCAGTCCGCTTTTGGAGGTTTTCTGAGAGTGCATATCCAAAGTGCTCCAATCACATGGACCTGCAGTCCACAGCGCTCCTCCTGACTTGTGCTCACTGAGCAACAACTACAGCGGGACAAAACTTTGGAACTGCTGATGCAACGCCCACTGCAAGGGAACCAATCAGAAGACGCAGGGGGCGGGGTTTTGAATGCGTACCATGCAGGTTGGTGTTCCGAGTCTTTCTCCAGTAAATACACTACTGCAGTGCAATAGAAAAGAGGAATGTTTTGTACAACTGTGGCACTATGACATA